ATCTGTTTTTTATTTAATTTTACAATTTATTTTATTTTTTATGTATTATTTGTTGGGAAAAAGATGTTATTTATTTAATGTTATGTATTTTGATTTTGTTTCTACTGGATCTGTCTTGAAGTTTATCCATTTACATACTTTCTTCTATTGTATAATGCATTTCTTAAATGTTCAAGGTCGATTTTTTTATATTTTTCGTTTACTATACTTTCCCGCTATTATGTTTTTAAACAATTTGAATAAAACTGTGACCCTGGAAGATCAGTACTGCGCCCTCTGAGCCCTAGGCTGCCTAGTTAGCCTAATGGCGGTACCGACTCTTTATTGCTAGAGATCATTAATGTATATAAATAACAACAGTACAGACAATACGTATAATGATAATAGTAAGTAATAGTGAGGTTATACTCTTAGTGCTGGGAAAGTGGGCGGAGGGACAGTACGTGGCCAACTACAACTACTGCTACAGTGACGGCCCTGACGCCAACGTGACGGCCGCCATCATCAAGTTCTCCACCCAGGCCATACCCCCGCCATACCACTACGCTGGCGCCAAGTACACCAACATCGGCACCTTCGCTGCCTACCAATGGTGTGCTGATGGTGAGACCCCCCCCCCCACTATATGTTAATTCATATCTGTAGTAGTAAGACACTTATCAGGCAGGCTTAATTTATAGAATGACGCCGAAGTAAAAACTTAAAGACTTAATTCTTCGCCTTAAAGGAAACGCAGCATTCTACATTTACAGCGTTACATTACATTATTCTACATTATACAGCGTTATCTACATTATCATTATCAGCGTTACATTAACCCTGAAATGTAACAGGGTTAGAATATATCACTTAAAACTGGAAATGCAGGATCTAAATACGAGACAGATTTGGCAGTCGTGGTTAGTAGAGATCTTAGGAGTTGGTAGAGATCTTAGGGGTTGGTAGAGATCTTAGGGTTGGTAGAGATCTTAGGGGTTGGTAGAGATCTTAGGAGTTGGTAGAGATCTTAGGGGTTGGTAGAGATCTTAGAGAGGGTTAGTAGAGATCTTAGTGGGGTTAGTAATCTTAGGTGGTTAGTAGAGATCTTAGGTGGTTAGTAGAGATCTTAGGGGTTAGTAGACATCTTAGGGGGTTAGTTCATATCTTAGGGGGTTAGTAGACATCGTAGGTGGTTAGTAGACATCTTATGGGGATAGTAGACATCTTATGGGGGATAGTAGACATCTTAGGGGGATAGTAGACATCTTAGAGATTAGTAGACATCTTTGGCGTAAACAAAAAAGTGACAGGTGGCACTGTACCAACGTCATCCAGAGCAAAATCTGGCAATACTGTATGAATCTTCTCTGAATTATCATTATGTTAAGATTAATATGATTATTGCTTGGGGGGGGGCATATTGGAGGTTGATCATGTCAATAACTAACCAAAATACTTACACTTTAAACCTCCAAATCTTTGGTGATAATGTGTGTGTGTGTGTGTGTGTGTGTGTGTGTGTGTGTGTGTGTGTGTGTGTGTGTGTGTACTCACCTATATGTACTCACCTATATGTGCTTGCAGGATCGAGCATTGACTCTTGGATCCCGCCTTTCGAGCATCGGTTGTTTACAGCAATGACTCCTGTCCCATTTCCCTATCATACCTGGTTTTAAAATTATGAATAGTATTTGCTTCCACAACCTGTTCCTGAAGTGCATTCCATTTCCCCACTACTCTCACGCTAAAAGAAAACTTCCTTACATCTCTGTGACTCATCTGAGTTTCAAGCTTCCATCCATGTCCTCTCGTTCTGTTACTATTCCGTGTGAACATTTCGTCTATGTCCACTCTGTCAATTCCTCTGAGTATCTTATACGTTCCTATCATGTCCCCCCTCTCCCTTCTTCTTTCTAGTGTCGTAAGGCACAGTTCCCTCAGGCGCTCTTCATACCCCATCCCTCGTAGCTCTGGGACGAGTCTCGTTGCAAACCTCTGAACCTTTTCCAGTTTCATTATATGCTTCTTCAGATGGGGACTCCATGAGAGGCGGCATACTCTAAGACTGGCCTTACGTAGGCAGTGTAAAGCGCCCTAAATGCCTCCTTACTTAGGTTTCTGAATGATGTTCTAACTTTTGCCAGTGTAGAGTACGCTGCTGTCGTTATCCTATTAATAGTGCCTCAGGAGATAGATTAGGTGTTACGTCCACCCCCAGGTCTCTTTCACGCGTCGTTACAGGTAGGCTGTTCCCCTTCATTGTGTACTGTCCCTTTGGTCTCCTATCTCCTAGTCCCATTTCCATAACTTTACATTTGCTCGTGTTGAATTCTAGTAGCCATTTCTCTGACCATCTCTGCAATCTGTTCAGGTCCTCTTGGAGGATCCTGCAATCCTCTGTGTGTGTGTGTGTGTGTGTGTGTGTGTGTGTGTAAATCACGAAGAAATTAACACGTGATGAACAGTGTTTAACGTGTCAGACCACGAAGGAAGGATTAAGACAGGAATTTCCTCAAGTACTTTTCGTATTTAATAATAGATTCTTCTGAAGATGTATTATTAAATACGAAAGTACTGAAGGAAATTCCTGTATATATATATATATATATATCTGAAAACTCACACCCCAGAAGTGACTCGAACCCATACTCCAAATCCATGTCCTGGATTTGAACCCAGGACTACGAACCCATGTCCTGGGGACCATTCAGGCTTGTTCGCATTTGTGTTCCTCACGTGTTGCCCCAAAGAATGAGGTGATTTGGTAAAATGCTATGCCCAAGATAACTATCCGAGTGCCGGCGGTGGGGTGGTTCAAATAGCCTCGGCTATCACCTCATTTTGTCCGGTCGTGATGGTCAAGTGGATTAAGGCGTCTTGTACATACCAGATGCGTTGCTTCTGGAGTATGGGTTCGAGTCACTTCTGGGGTGTGAGTTTTCAGTTGCATATGTCCTGGGGACCATTCAGGCTTGCATATATATATATATATATATATATATATATATATATATATATATATATATATATATATATATATATATATATATATATATATATATATATATATATATATATATATATATATATATATATATATATATATATATATATATATATATATATATATATATATATATATATATATATATATATATATATATATATATGTGTGTGTGTGGGAACCGACCTGTGAGATTTATATTTATTTAATTTATATGAATTTATATTTACGTTAATTTATATACTTCGATAGCAATTTGTATAATGATAAGTGGACTGTATTTCTGCAATAATCTCATAATCTCACAAATCGATCCTCTACACATTAGGGGGGTTTATATTAATTGAATTTATATATATGCAGCCAATCAAACTACAGTATTAGACTACATACATTGAAGAGGTTCCTTATCTTATTGTACAGCAGGCCTTAGTTCACCAGGTATAACCAGGATGTAGACACCACATTTTCCCTCTTTGAGGTAGCTTCCATCACCCTGGTAACTGATGCACAAAGCATGCTTCCTCGTCTTGACCTGTCAAAAGGGCGCTAGCTGTAAAGCCAGAATCCTAATATATGACAGCTATATCAGAGAAAACACTGTACATGGAACCATACAGACCTAGGCTTAATTACCTTTAGTATGAGGCGATCTCGTGCTCTAACTGGTTCACCCTACCTAATGACATTAATGGCCATAAATGATAGATAAATGGGTTTCGGCAGAACACTTAACTTGAATTTGTTGACAGCGTGTTGATGATGGTACACCTTTGGTTTCCATAACACTTCGTCCAAGTAAAATTAACAGGAGCCGTATTTGCTCCGGTGAGCCTCTCTGGTCTAAGTACAAACAATGGCTGACCACTCCCTCACCCTGACGCCTGGCTTACATTGTCCAGATGACAGTAAGTGATAGAAGGGTCACATTTACTCTATTTTAATTCTGATAATTAAGTTAATTTATGAGATGTTTTTATGATGGTAAAGTCCAAAGACTAATGTATTTAAGAATAATTCCCACCATAATAGGTGGTGAATTTATAATAGTATGTGGTAATGATATCCCGTTTTCTATAGACGGTAATTCCACTACAAGGTACATTTTCTATGGGTTAACTTGTTTATACAATACAGCAGCAATATTATCTGCCTGTATGTAATATTAAATGGTGTCGGATTTTCCGACAATATATATATATATATATATATATATATATATATATATATATATATAATGTATGAATCTTCTCTGAATTATTCATACTTTATATATATATATATAATATATATATATATATATATATATATATATATATATATATATATATATATATATATATATATATATATATATATATATATATATATATATATCCTGAACCCAGTATGTGCCCCTGTAACCCTTTCCACCCCCGCCCACGGGATGAGTATGGGGTGCAAAATAAAGGCTTAAGCTGAACTGAGTATTGAGAAGGTGTTGTTGTCCACAGTGACCAGGGTCCAGACCACTCTGAAGGTGATCAACGCCTCTGTGGTTCAGTCGGCCGCCACCCGCCAGACCAGGACGAACCTCGTCACTATGGTGAGTAAGGGAGGTATTCCTCAGACTGCCGAGTCGTGAGTAATGCTAACATGACAGCGTGACCCACGCCAGCAGCATAGATCATGCTAGTAGCGTCAGTCATCACCAGTGACTTGTATTCATGTTCTGCAGATGAATAAGGTGGTTCTGCCACAGATGAAGGAAATGGTGTCGGCGCTCAACCTCACCTTGTTCTCCGCTAATGTCACCTACATCAACACCACCACCAGCGCTGCCTCCACCAACGCCACCTCCACCAGCGCTGCCTCCACCAACGCCACCGCCACCAGCGCTGCCTCCACCAACGCCACCGCCACCAACGCCACTAACGCCACCACCTCCACCAACGCCACCTCCACCAACGCCACAGCCACCAACACCACCTCCACCAACGCCACAGCCACCAACACCACCTCCACCAACGCCACCTCTACCAACACCACCACCACCAACGCCACCTCCACCAACGCCACCACCTCCACCAACGCCACCTCCACCAACACCACCTCCACCAACACCACCAACGCCACCAGCAGCGTTGCCTCCAACAACGTCACTTACAACGACTCCGCTTACTTCATGGTGGAGTTCGTGCTGAGAGGCCGCGACGCCTCCTACAAGGACCAGGTGAGCCAGCGGTCTGGAGAAGGACCGAGCGAGGAGGCAGTGGGAGTAAACATGGAGAGAGGAACAAAATATATATAGAGAGAGTGGAAGTATAAAGGCATAGATAGGTAACAGAAGGAGGGAGGGATGGAAGAGGTAAATAAATGGAGGTTAGAATAGAAGAGGGGGAGATGGAGAAAGAGTAGTAAAGAGGGAAGATACAAGAGAGAAGAGAGTAGATAAGACACAACACTGGTAGCGACCTTCATCTGTACACAGTACTTGATTACCTCACCACATCTTAACCAAAGCTCATTACCACAACCCTAATTATATTTATTTGTATAACCCTTGAATCACAATCACAAGAACTACAACTATAACATCCATAACCAAAAGAGCCACAATCAAAACATCCACAATTATAAGAGCCACAACCACAAAAGCCAAACACATAATATCAACAACCACAAACACCACAACTTTAACCACAACTATACTAACTGCCACTATTATAACCATGACTAACAATCGTAGCTGTAACACAACCTCAAAAAAATGGCAACCATACCCACAGCCAATAACAACCAATACTAAACCAACAACAACCACAAACATTAACAGAAATTATTACAACCACAGCAGCGATGACGGGTGAGAGGTGACAGGATGGATGACATACGGAGTGAGAGGTGACAAAATGGATGACAGTAGGAATGAAGGTGACCTGGGAAGTGGTGGAGGCGTGTGAGTGATCTTGTATTCTCCGTCAGGTGGCTGCTGGAGTCTCGGCCGCCCTCGCCAACGACACGAACGTGGACCTCACCGGGATGGTGTACAAAGGTATTGTCCGAACACCGCGAGGCGGGTCCTGGTCCACAGGTAACCAGCAGTAAGTAACCTGGAGCTATGGGAAAAAAGAAAGCTCGTAGCTCTTCAGAATTCGTAAACGGTTTGGTAAATACCGACTAAGCCGCCATGATGGCGGTAAGAGCTCTAGATATCTTACACCTGAGGACACTTAGGTGTTGTGTGTATTAGGCTGCCGGCAGCTGACACCACAAACAGACATTCGGTGTGGACCGACTGTTAGCCAATGTTTACATGTCAGATATAGGCCTATTCGTAGTCAATGTTTACATTTTGGCCAGAGTGGTCTAACACAGTGAGTCACTAATTAATGTATTGCAATGTAACGACTTGTTTAAGTCCTTCAGAACAAATTAGAGCCCCCCTTCAGCACAAGACACTGGCTGCTCAGCACAGGAAAACGAGATTAACAGTGATAGCAACATTACAGCCAGTACATCTGCAAAATATTGTTGTAGATGTAGTCGTCTTATTTCTCTACAGAGTCTTAAGGTCCACAAGTGTACCACCGAACATCTGTCTGTAGGACCTGGAGTGACCTGTGTCTCGGCCTGTACCTAGCAACACGTCCAGAACAAGTGTTGACGGGTTCAATGCAACGTCCACTGCGCCAATATTAGTTAACATTAGTTATTATTATTAGTTAACAATATCAAGATATTTATTATCCTAAACGCTTGGTAATTGACCATTATGGACGCTGGGTTTTTCAAAGTTAACTTTATCATTAACAGTTGTGGCGTGCAGCCAGGATCCTCCAGCGCCACCTGCCACCACTAACCTCACTTCAACTGGCAACTTGGCAGGTGCAACAGCCACTTACACCTGCGGCGCTGGGTACAGGTGAGTGTTCTTCAAGGCAAGGATTCCACTCCTATAAGTACACTTAAGTCCGCAACTCGGCCTTACTCCTCAATGTCTTTCACTCGTATGATCTGTGATCGAAGGTAAAAATTATTCTTGCAATATCTCTCATCCAACCACTGTGAATGGTAGCAGTGCCGTCTTACCCTTGGGAACACTGGACAGTCGACCATGGCCCCTACGATTCTAGGGGGTCCCCATGCTGCCATATTGCCCATGAGAGATCTCTTTGCAGTATAAAGGATAATTACTCGACCCCTCGCTGGAGAGGCCTGGGAATCAACTTCCTATTCAAATTATATATACAACATAAATTTGTGCATAACTATTTGACAGAAATCATGCACTTTAGTGGAGAGGCGGGGACTATAATCTCGCTAGGGGCCCCAGTGCATTGCCTTTTCCAGGGTCTACAATACAGTTAACATGGCTCTCACTGGTAGTGCGAAAACATAGCTTCTTGCATGCTCAGCGTTCGATCCCCGATGGTCTAAGTGGGTGGGCACCGTTCCTTCACTTCGTCCTCATTTCTCGTTATCTTGTTCTAATATATCTTCCAAGTGATATATAGTCATACTGGCCTAGCGCTTTCTTATAATTACGTTTGCAACCTCAGAACTCTGTTATTATACTACACAAATTTTCCAGCTCTTCATTGTGGGTGAATAATTTTGAATTAACTCATTAGGCTGCCGTCTTACACTTTTCAACTCATTAACCTTGTTTAACAGCTTACTTAGCATCACACAAATTATTTAGCAGTAGATCCTAACTAGTGTCTGGACTACTCAGAGACACACCGAACATCACCCTTGAGTCTTGCACTACAATATAACCTGCTTCCCAGGAACCTGATCAACTATGGGCCTAGGCTTACTTCAATCTCGCCTGTTTTTATTTCAATGATTCTTGTCTCTTAATCTTTTTCATTTCATAGTAATTTATACTGATTCTTTCAAGTTAATATATAATGTCTTATCAACACAACATTAGTACTCTTCTAGTCATATTAAGCTGATCTATTACTAAATACTGTACTTATCTGTAGGAACATAATGAGATGGTCAGAATCAATCAGAATCAATCCATGCGCTGCTCAGACTGACGGCTGGTTACACAGCCCGTCCTCCTTAGATATCCTACCGTCAAGAAACTGTCGTACTAAGGTGCCCTTATCCTAACCTACCAGAGGACCCAAAACGGAAAACGGGACAGTATGTCAATTTCGCGAGCCACTACCATTTTTAGGTACGACAATTTTTGCCCTTAGGTAGAGTATGCATTAAAATGCGACGTTCTATTAGGAGGACGGGTTACGCATGCTTCAGCCTCGAGTCTCTCTTACCTATTGCCACATTGTGAAGTTCGGACCTCTTACATTTTTCTAGATATAGGGGAATATCTGTATTCAAACATAACCTAAAACCCAACTCTTACTTCCAAAACCTTGAACACAAATATGGTACAGAAATGTAACCTCATTCTTTCTCAGCTAAGCTTAATCCCAGATCTAAGCTTAATCCCAGATTTAATGTTGCACACTCCCTTTCTTTATTAGTTACATTAATCCATTAAATTATTCAATCTTGTATAATGATATTAATCCAAGCTTTCACTTGCTCAGAAGTCACACAAAACTGTATGTAGGCTTTCACGGAGATATGTTTAGCTTCGTAAATTATCACCGAGACCGGACTGCATAGAACTAATATCGGCTCAGATACAGCTTTGTTAATGTAAGCCACCAAAATATGCCAGTATCATACTGAGCTCTTCATATTCTTGGTCTTCTAATGAGCCAATTGGTAACCCTTCGAGGAGGACCTTGTGCTGTCAGCTACATACCTCATGACACCAAGATTGTTGTCATATCACCAGTATTTAGCCCATTCACAGGTTGGACGAACTCCTGATCTTTTCGAAAAGTCAGTCAATCCCTAAAAATAGTCAAGCGAACCTTAGGCTTCAAGGAAAAGATGGCAGCTCTTTAACTATAAAACTCTGGTGCTCTCCCACTTGAATTAATGTATCCAAGCATAGAGATCTCATCTTCAGAACATATCAGCTTTGGAGAAAGTTCAACACCGGACAACAAAAATCATCTATCATACCAGGAACGGTTGAGGACCACAGGCCAACAACACTGCAAACCAGACATGACAAGGGTGATCTCATCGAAACTTAAAATACTGAACAAATTGGAGATATTGGTCCAGACCACTTCTTTAAAAGGTCAGATGTAACACATAAGGAACAACGGTTTCAAGCTCAACAAACTACAATGAAGAACGAAAACAGGAGATGCTTTTTCACCCATAGGGCTTCGTTCACCCATAAGACACCCGTGGAACCTCATACCCGCTGAAGCCGTAAATGCCAAAACAATGCTGCAATTAAAAATTCAGTTGGATAAAATCATCAAGACAAATGGAGGGCCCGTTCAGAAGCCGCCGGCTTCCTGTCCTCGTCGAGCCCATTAATGAAATGGGTCCCATGTAAATTCAGATAGTGAAACGATCCTGTCCTCCACTTGTTATCGTGCCTCTAATCCTGTCCTCCACTTGTTATCGTGCCCCTAATCCTGTCCTTGTCGATCGAACCCAGGACCACATGATCACGTGCCCAGCGTGCTGTCCGCTCGGCCACCGGCTCCCCTGTGTGTGTGCGTGTGTAATTACCTAAGTGTAGTTACAGGATGAGAGCTATATTACGTAGTGTGTGTGCATGTGTGTGTGAGCGTGTGGGGGGGGGGAGAGGAAGGGAGTATTTGAGTGATCACCTGGGAGATAGTTGCCAAGAGACTCGACAACAATGTCTCTTATACATCAATACTGACACAGACTTACCACCACAACTAAGTATCACCACATATACTAATAAGGAGGTTCTTCTAAGCACTCAATAATCTCATTTCAAGCCGGCCGTGCTGCTCTGAATGAGATACCCTAATTACTAGGTTTGCGAGGAAGTAATAATTCCTAGGCTTGCGAGGTAGTAAATTAACAAATATTATGCAACACAATAACACGGTTTCGAATGCATCAAATGCAGCCTAATCACAGAACCGCCTGCTCTCAACCACCAAGAAACATATCTATTATGTAATGGTAGATTACACACCATAAAATCAAATCAAGCCTTGTTGAAGTAACAAGGAAAAATTACACTGCACATTATACAAATAAATTTACTAACACAGTGCTAATAATTACATTATTGTATAAAAAGATAACAGTGTATAAATTACAAATGTGATCCCATCAAATAACATGCTGAGAGACAATCAGTGTATAATCCCCTACAGTACGCACACCGTTAGGCTAGCCGCACTATAAACTTCCCATATGAGCCAGACACTGATCTCTAAAACTGGCATATATCAATTAAATAAACACTATCGTGAATAATACCGAAAACGCAATGTGTGTTAATAATTCGATAAATAAATCATGCGTAAATCAAATCACGAAAGCCCTGAACAAAAAATATACTTATTTCAAATACTTTGAAGTAAACATTCCATTGGCACTTATTTCTTCATCAAATTGGTTATACTCAGAGTGGCAGCCAATATACACAAAACTAAGCAAATATACTCTATAGGCACTTAACTGAGAACAATACGTCACCTCTACCTAACAGGAGAAACACCTATCTACTCCAAAACTATATTTACCCGAGGGCCACTATCTCTCTAGTGGCCTCGACAAGGACAGAAAGCCGGCGGCTTGTTAAAGGTTCTCCCATTTGTCAGGATAATTTTATAGAACTAGATTTCGAAATTCAGGAATATTTTGGTATTTATGGCATCGGCGGGTAGGCGGTTCTATGGCTTTATAACAATATGGGTACTGACCGAGTTGTTCTTGGGTGGGGGGGGGGGTGAAAAGCCTCTCCTGTTTACTGCCCTGCATTGTAGTTTGTTGAGACTGAACCTGTTGCTCCTTGTTCGTGTTGCATCTGACTGCAACGTTACAATATGAGCCGTGTCATGTCTGTGTGCAGCGTTGTTAGTCCTGTGGCCCTCAACTGTTCCTGGTATGAGAGTGGACTTGGTTCAGGAATGATTTTTGTCGACCGGTGTTGAACTTTCTCCAAAGCTGATATGTCCTGAAGATAGGGTCTCCATGCTTGGATACAATAATTCAAGCGAGGGCGCACCAGATTTATACAATTATATAATTGCATATAACGACCTAAGTCTAGTTACTGACGATACACAACTGTACTTAATCTAATTGGCAGGACGCCAAGGTTGTCTCAAAGAAACCCTGGTACCTGTTATTGTCTTGTAATGTTAGTTTGCTTTACTATTATTGAGCCCTACCAGGCGGTACGCTCCGCCACCCGTCCAGTTACTGACCCAACATACGAGACGCTGACGTCATTATATAGATTATCATGTGACCTATAATCTTGCGACCTGTTATTATAGCTTGTTATATGTTATCTTGCAATCTGTAAACATGCCGATTGTTATTATGCTACCAATTATCATGTAACTACTGTAAACAAGTGACCTTTTATCTTCTGTCCAGGTTGAATACCCTGTCAGACACCCTGGTGTCTCTGTGTGACCACTCCACCACCGTCTGGACCCCCATCCCGGCCAACCTCTCCTGTATCGTAGGTGTGTGATCACCCACCCTCACAGTGAACATATGCCAGCAACCATCTTTGCTATTTTCCTTATAAATATATTCTTATCTTATTACAAAGGCCAATATAACAAGTCATTATTACCTATAACAAGGGTCATTATTACTTATAACAAGGGTCATTATTACCTATAACAAGGGTCATTATATATAACAAGGGGCCATTACCGCCAATAAGGATAATAATGTTTAAAAGCACCAATATCTTAGAGAGTCCTCGTGTATTGACCAGACATGCGGTGTGTGGGTCCCCCGCCCCTCCCCCCCGCCAACGCCTCCTACACCTGGGACCGAAAGAACCTGGAGCAGTTCACCCAAGTCAACTACACCTGTATGCCCAGCTTCAGGTGAGCGGACAGCTGGTTAATGATGGCCAGGCCCAGGAAGGTAAGGGTAAAAGCAGGAGAGGAGAGGGAGAGTAGGTAGTACGGGGCAGAGTAAGGGGAGAGCAAGGGAGATGGAAAGTAGGGATGGAGGGGAGGCAAGAAGAGGGGAAGTTAGGAATAGAGGGAGGGAGGGGCAGGAATGAGTAATACAGATTATAACAAAAAGTCTCTACCATGAACGTTACTAACAGAGCTGTTTGGCATTGTCTTCAGGGCGACAGAAGGAACGTTCCAGACGTCTCAGTGTGTGAACAAGAACTGGACGAACATCTCTTCAACTTTCCAGTAAGTTACAAACATTACTGGTGCATGTCAGAAGCTATAACATACTTCACGCTCTCTCTTTCCTACAATACAATAACTTGACAATACCAAATACAGTATTCTATCTTGTCCATACAATTTGACTTGCTGCTGTATGTGTATGTTGGGATTAAGGCCGCGAGCTATGTGCTGGAGTTATGTGTATACCATGAGCTAGGCTCCCTCCTCTTGTTATAAAGACTTTCTGGAATCTTCCTTCTCATTTTCTGTTAATGCGTCCTCTTCTTACCTTCAGTTCCATGCTGAAGACAGTTTATTTAGTGTTGTTTTTTTCCTGCTGTAGTTTGATTTTTGAGAGATTTTATCTCAGAAGAGCTGCACAAGAGCCAACACAAAGTGCCAGGTGTGAGATAAATACTTCCAACTGAAATATAGGTGAGAGCAAATGTCGGAGTTCAGTTACCTGATACTCCAAATCATTAGGTCGTTGACTCCTCAATTGCTGGTAGTAGTCTTGAGGGGTAGTAGTCACTGGGTTCTCACACCAAATTTAATATTCGGTGTTTAGGCTATGATTAGGTTCAAGTCCAGAAGCCGACACTCATTAAATGTAAGATGTAGTATTAGTTGTAGCAGCCTGAGTTATGCTACAACTCAGTAGTATTAGTTGTAGCAGCCTGAGTAATGCCCCCCCCCTGTGGGGGGGGGGCATTACTCTTGAAAGGCGCTGACATTAAGGTCTTATTTGGCAACAATAACAGGTTATTAATAAAACTTAATACTAATACAAGGGCACAACAGTTTAACGTTATGGTACTGTCCTGAGTGACACTTTGACCGCTAACAAATACCTGGGTAGTGGGACTACTGTCACACCGCCACTCTCGGTACTGTCACATCACTCTCGGCTGGTCTAAGAGAACAGGTCTCAGCACTCTTGCATGGGCAACACAAGACCAATGAACTAACTGAACATCGGGTGTGCATTAGGACTCAAATATACAATCCAAAATAATGCAGTAAAACAATTTGATCAATTAAAACAACAACAAAATTAAACAAAGCAAGACCTGTCACTGAGACATTCTTCGGTAAATCAAATTACTTACGTTAACACACGTCCCTATGGACGGCAGTCAATTAAACACAATTAATTAACCAATTGTGTAAAAGTTCTTTTGCACAGACCAGAACAATTGATTACAATCAAATGAAAATAAACAATTACTTAATTACGTTAATTACTGCCATCTAGACAATTATCAATCAAATATAATTTGCGTTAATTACAATCTGTCACTCAGTCAATCTATCAAAACAGTAATGCTTCACAGTAATTCTATACTCTGTCACATAGACAATTAAACAATCAGTGAGTAATTACATTAATTCCCGTTACACTGACAGTTAATCAGTCAAGATGAATAACGTGACTGACCCTATCACACAGACAGCTTGCCAAACAAGAATTTGTTAACACTTTACTAATTACGTTAAGTACACTGTCTCAATGACATCTATCAAAACATTGAATTACATTCATTGACTTTTCAATCACTATAATTAAAGATTATAATATTGCTTATCACCAAGACGAGTCAGAACACGATAACAGTTGACACTTCAGTTCACAAGGCCCAAATCACACAATAAATGATATTACAGATTAATTATTAATCACAATATAATTAATCGCGGGGTATTGACTTAAAATCAGGCGAGAACCCAAAAGGGAAGACAGACCAAGAGGTGGGCCGAGGGGGATGATGTTCTACGGTTTCTAAATATTAAAATATATGTTTTTATATAAATACTATATATTTATATAAAATATATCTCAAAATTATTAACTATGAATTAAGACAACGGCTGTCTATAAATGTCTCATGCATAAATATTTTAAATTAATTGACAATTAATTAAAAAAAGTTACCATATCTCATTTAATTTGAACTATCACCCATTAACACGTGTTCAAATATTTTAAATTAATTGACAATTAATTAAAAAAAGTTACCATATCTCATTTAATTTGAACTATCACCCATTAACACGTGTTCATTTTCTCTCATTTTTACGTTATGCCCTCGTTAAAAACTGTATATCTTCTTGTACAATTTCTATGTTACCTTCCTTTTATTTAGTATTAAGTGTCTACCTCATAAAACTTTTGAACAACCTAACTTGATGAACAAATCCACAAGATAATCCCGGACGTAGGTTCGAACCCTCATCACGACCCTTGTGGACGTGTTCATTTGATGCATCACGCTATTGTGATTTATGTGTGTATGCCTAACTGAATTATTTCAAATTAAGTCCGAAACGCTTTCAATATTAGTGGTCTAATTAACTCTTCATACATGATAACAAATATTAAACCACTGTATTATATTCTTTTGTATATTTTTAAATAAAAATGATTATAATTATTAGGTATTATTATTATAATGAGTGTGTGTGTGTGTGTTACAGGTGCGAGTACTACGGGTGTGGGTCGCTGCCTCCACAGGTGCCCGACAACGCCATCCTCACCTGGAACACCTTGATGACACAGAACACCGTCGCTACCTACACCTGTATGGATGGCTACTTGTAAGCCCCTCTCTTCTCTCCCACAGTTAAAACAAAGTCAACATTTGCATATTTAACAATGCCTGTAATATCACAGCAACACTTAGTTAAATTGTCTCACGTTCGAAGTTAAGAGAGTTAGTTGTGTACTACTGTTGTTAGTTAAGCATCTGAAATAATTATGTTTCCCCCGCGCCTTAATGGTGCACAGAGCCACCGGGTCGTCGAGCTCCGTGAAGCTGAGTTGCACCAACAAGACCTGGGGAGACCTGCCTCCCAAGTTTGGCTGCATCAGCAGCGCTTATGCCTTTAGAACTCAGGTGATCATCGATGACATTGACTACTTCCTGGTCATCACCATCCCCTCGCTCGTAGGTACGCCATCCTCCTCCTCCTACACTCCCTCTCTTATGATGCAATATTGTTATAACCTTTGTTATTATTATTATTATTATTATTATTACGGCCGTGACGTCAGTAATTACCACACTCGTTATACTTGGCCTCATTATATAAATGAATGTGACAAAATCGCGGAATTCAGAGATAACACCTTCAATGGTGTCGAAGAAATGTGTAAGTACTTCATTCATAATGATGTGCTGCCGGGAATCTTAGCGAAGTATCCAAACATTGCTTACTGTAGGTAATGCATGCACATGACTGTAAAGCTGCCGCCCAGTTGGGTGGGTGTGGAGCAAGACTAGTAACTGTGTGACTCACCATAGATGTAAAGTGCCTTGTATAGTGACTGTTGTGAGCCTTTTGTTGAATCACTTGTGATATACAAATTATTGATAATATGTATTTGTGCACATGAATGTATATATATGTACACGCGTATGTAACATTAACAATTGTGTAACTATCTTCACAAGACTGTCACTTCCTTAGCTAAAGGAACTCTGGGGTTCAGTTCCTGAGCCCAGTATGTGCCCCCTGTAACCTTTTCCATCACCTCCCCCCACGGGATGGGTATAGGGTGCATAATAAAGGCTGAAATTAAAATTGCAAATAAGGGTAAGAGTGTTTCTCACCAGTACTAAATGTTTCTCACCAGTACTGTCCCTCACCCACCAGCACTGTCCCTCACTCACTATTCTCCAGCAGAAGCTTTTAGTCAATATTTTAGTTCTACTTTGTGACCCTGACGGCCCGTGTTGATGAAGGGCTGTGACCCCACACAATGAAGTACTCTAACGAAGCTGTGTAATTACTGTTGATTGTTGAACATAATTCAATCTTAACGGATGGGCTTACCAGTCCGAGGGTGAACTGGTATCACAGGCACCATATCAGGGTGGGGTGGGGGGGCAGATCCACAAGTAGTGTTAGGTTGTTGTTGGTGATTTAGGGGCGACGACGATCGTGGGGTCGAATGCGTCCCGGCGTATCCGTGAAGGGTTAATTGCGAGGCCCGGAAAGGTGAAACGCCAAACCTAATCGCAAAACAAGTGATGCCAATCACTGGAACCTAATATGCCTCGCGACAAAGAAACGCAGACAGATTATTGGGGAGCCCCAGGAGTCCCTCAGGGGGACAAGCACCGGTCCCGCCCCACACAGAGAACACAGCGTAGCAAAACCAAAAATGCGGCCCCCAGCTAAAACGCAAAAGTCATCCAGTGTCCTCCGGCAGAGCAGAAACTAGCCACTTACGTGTGCAGCTGAGGGCACACCAGGAGCCCATCAGGAGCCCGCCAACCCCCGGCGCCTCTCGGCCAAGCCGGCCCCCGAACACCGTCACCCCGCCGGGAGAACCAGCCAGAAAACATAAAAAAAAAAAAAACTAGCAACAACCCGGTGGCCCAAGGCGATATGTGCGCCAAGCGACGTACAACCGGACCGTTGAAGATGAATGCCAAACGGCATTATCAAATCCAAAATCGCAAAACAAACGTGAACCGACGGCTCCCAAGCGGAGGAGGCGTCCGGACGTCCGCTCGGCGTCAAGGGTGAACCAGCAGTCCATAGTGTCAGGTTGGACCTCTACCGTCATAAGATCATGTAAACATGTTTTCAACTGCTACCACAAATTTTGCTATAAATTATAACGTCGAATTTGTTGTGTATGCCACAGCTTGTTATAATGCACTTTGTGGTGTGGTGGTTAACGATCTCATTAGCTCGCCTTACATGGAGAACGACACGGGTTTGAGCCCTGGGCAGGTGGGGAGATGTGAGCACCGTTCCCCTCCCTGTTCGTCCTCGTTGACTGGACAGCAACTGGTGGCACTGGCAGCGCGCCCTCGTGTACACACTGGACAAATATTCCCTTAATATAACTGCCGCCTTCTCTCTTTAAGCACGGAAAACACTTTAATTAATACAAATAATAATTCGTTTCGTCAGAGACAGGAAGCCTGTGTTTATACGTTATGCTTATTCCTCGTCTCGCCTTGAATTCAACATTATAGTGAATATCTCGATATTTAGAATGAAGCCTAACTTGAACAGCTCAAGAGTCGTCGTCTGTTTATACATTAATAATTGTCGTCTTCTTTGAAGCATGTTGTTTGCTTGTACAGTATTATTATTCTCTTCGCATGTACATATCTGTGTCTTTTATTTTGTATATAGTTTAGGTTTAGGGTTTTGATTTTTAGTAATTTTTCATTTAATGAGTATATCATTCTGATTTTTATATTAATGTTTTTGGCGTATCTTGTGAATGTACATATTCTATTATTAGCACTGATGATGGAGTTCGAGACTCCAACACAAAGACTCGAGACACAATTGTTATTTTACAATTACTCCTATCTTTGTTATTGTACAATTACTCCTGTTATCTTTGGTATTGTACATTATTCCTGTTACCTTTGTTGTTGTATAATTACTCCTGTTATCTTTGTTATTGTACAATTACTTTTTTTATTATTATACATTTCAACGCTTACATATTTTACTTATACAATTTATTTTAACTAATTTATTTAATCTTATAAGTTGAGTTTCGCTCGACCTAAAAACAGAGCTCTGCCACGGAGTAAACAATTCTTCCTTAAACTTAATTTTTTTTTTCAGGGTTGCTTTTCTTCATTTGCTGCTGCCTGTGCTGCACTAGGACTGACTCCCCATTATACTGCATTTGCAACCCCAGGAGGAAAGATAATGGTTTCCCCTAACACAAGCCCTTCGCACACTACTCAAACATTTAACCAAGGAAGCGGAGAACTAAAATGTGTTTTCTCGTAACCCATCGGCACGCCGGGCCGAATCTGACTTGACTTTTATGAGTCATATATGAGTAAAGTTATGTTATTGTATAATATTTCAAGCAGAGAGTGTGCACGGTTTCATTGTTACAAAATTATTCAAGTATCATTTAGTGTTAACAGCATCTTTAATTCTCAAAAAGGATCGTTACTGACATTATCGTATTTTATAATGAAGCGATGTAAACACCGAGATGTATACTTTTGTCTTCAACAACGGCACTTAGGAGTGAAGTATACTTGCTGTTGTTGACTGTCGTCGCTCCTAAATCAACAACAACATAATTGCTTGTATGTCAGTAACCTAGGATTGATGGGGTTGACAATATGTAGCCAGTAAAGGCTCTTGTAGAGTCTACAAGAATAATGTTCGTATTAGTTATGTATATTTAGAGCATTTCAATGTAGAATTTCATGGTACAAATATTGATATCCAAGGAAAGGGGGCATTGTCATCAAAGGTGGAGTCACAACTAGCAAGCATATAATTCATATACTTATAATTATTAAATATAAACACAATAAGATATCTTCAGTATATCACCTCAGGGTATTAACCAACTATATATCATTCGCTGGATGTCACAAAGAAACTTAACACTGCTTAGTTCATCCACCACAACGGAATTTCTTAAGATATGCTGAAATGTCCATTTCTGGGGCCAGATTCACGAAAGCAGTTACGCAGGCACTTACGAACCTGTACATCTTTTCTCAATCTTTGGCGGCTTTGTTTACAGTTATTAAACAGTTAATGAGCTCCGAAGCACCAGGAGGCTGTTTATAACAATAACAACAGTTGATTGGGAAGTTTTCATGCTTGTAAACTGTTTAATAAATGTAACCAAAGCCGTCAAAGATTGAGGAAAGATGTACAAGTTCGTAAGTACTTGTGTAACTGCTTCATGAATCTGGCCCCCTGGATATTTCTGTCATACAGACATAAGATCTTTGTCTAGTCTAAGACGTTTTTGTTAAATGCTATATTGTTACAGTTGGTTCACAACCAGAGGGTCCCAAAGTACATTCCATTCACCTGATGCTTCTTTTCACTAAGCATTTATAAGGAGTTAGCCATCTATTGTGTGCGGCATCCTGGCGAAGGTCAGTACTTGGCTTAGAGGGATCTTGATAAGTACAACAGGCTTCCTGTTCCCGACTATTATAAATCATTAATTTATTTTAAATGTTTACTCGTGAAAAGTGGACGCTTTAGTTCATGTTACAGAGATCAATTATCCAAGAGAGAGAGAGAACTGATAAACCTTGGCATCTGTTACAGACGCTCCTGTGTGTGTGTTAATGTTGGAATAAATTTAATCTTTCCAAGATTCTCCAGTGTTAATAACCCATTATGTACTCCATTGTTATACAGTTTCCTTTTTAACCTTATACTGGATCTTATTTCTTAGCCTAGCACACAAGGTAACATTTTTGTGAATCTTAATCCAATTACGGAATTCTTTTACACACGCAACTGAAAACTCACACCCCAGAAGTGACTCGAACCCATACTGCCAGGAGCAATGCAACTAGTATGTACAGGACGCCTTAATCCACTTGACCATCACGACCGGACAATAAGTGATAGCCGAAGCTATTTGAACCACTTCCCCGCCGGCACTCGGATGGTAATCTTGGGCATAGCATTTTATCAAATCACCTCATCCTTTGGGGCACACGTGAGGAACACAAATGCGAACAAGCCTGAATGGTCCCCAGGACTATATGCAACTGAAAACTCACACCCCAGAAGTGACTCGAACCCATACTGCCAGGAGCAATGCAACTGGTATTCCTTATTTGTGTTCCTCACGTGTGTTAATTACAACAGGTCACCTGACCTGATCTGACCTGTTGTAATTAACACTCTAGAGGTATGACTTTTTAATTGTTAAGGTCAGACAACCTGGCACCTTTCAAATATCCTGTCTGGCTGACTTATGTTATATGTAAAATATAAACTAACATCTTTATGGTGTTACAACAAGGCACCAGCCATCAATGGGGATTAAATAGGATATAGTCAAATCGTATAAAAAAACTTCGACAGAGCTGTTTCTAATTTGTTAAAACCATATACGGTATATAGTAGATTAGTATGAATTAGCTTAGGTTAGGCTGCGTTATGCTGGAGTGAGTTGGGAAAATAGGTTTAAAATCCGTTGACGAAGTCTTGTATACAATGTGATTTGTATCCAATTACATACATTAGGAATAAATTTGTCCAAATCCTGCCTAAAAACCATAGAGTTTACAGATGATTTCAACGTGGAATTTTTGGTAAGTGTTATAGGATCTTCTGTAGCATGCATATACCTTGAACGACTATGACAATGGCAAAAACCTCAGCGTTGAATGTAATGAAACGCCTCTTTGTTAGAGCCCGCTGGCTCCCTGTAGCTACGATCCGGCTTGGGGTACATTATTTGTTGTGTCAGGTGGCGACCTTCGTGCCACCGCCTCGGCTGTGGTGGACACTGTTTGGGTGCTGTCTCCTTGGTCCCCTGTTCCAAGACTCGTACAGTATTTCTCAGGTTGTCCGCAGTGGGACAACCATGATGTTCGCAAATATGCTACACTCGTGACAGTCTTCTTTAATTAATATGCCTTGTGCGAATATTTACTTAATAGTTTTTGGCAACTAACGGGGTCATATCCCTGGTCGTCTTAGGTCCCCTGAGCCCTGGGTAGTTACCTAGCCCAAGTGTCTGCTGCCTCTCCTCTCTGGGATAGTCCTCGAGAGGAGAGAGGTCTGCTCAACAAGCAATTATCAGATGACACAAAGCCGAGGAGTGCTTCCCAGGAAACAGCGTTGAGTGTAATTAAACGCCTTTCTGGTAGAGCCCCAGTCTCCCTCCCTCCTTTCCATGTTCGTGGGTTCGTTGTAGTGTTATCTGCTCTTGAATTGATGATGGTTGACGGACACAGCGGCTGGCCGCCTGCTAGCGGAATTGGTACTGGCAGTCTAGCTAGTTTTGTAGTTTATTTTATATTATTTGGCAGTTTAGCGGTTCAAATCGTGTGAACCTAGCAGTTCTCTAAAGCTCTGCAGACTTTCTGGATGCTTTCCCGGTGAAATGGCGGTATGTCATTTGCTCTCTGCACCTTGTAAAGGGGATTATGCCTCTGGCCCCCTGTAGGCCAAATGAAATAAAAACAACTGATGTGATTGCTATATTAGAGTAATCTCAACAGTAAAAAAAAAAAAAAAAAAAGGTTACATAAAAATGCTGAAATATTTCTTTTTGCACATTTATTTTAAGTAGCATCTCACAAAATATAAACAAAAATATTATAAACAAGCTACATCAATCTTATATACAGTATATTTCACAGTATGGACTATCCAAAGTTGACAATGAACAATGAGAGAATGTATCAACTTCATCACACAAGAAAATAGCCACATTTAAATATACAAATTGGTCAGGTAAATATATTACATATTGACAAGAATTATTGCTACTTGTAGTCCTGTGTTACTCAGGAAGCAATAACAATTTACAAAACTACCGGCTTGTATCTCATAAATTATAAGAAATAACCGATCAGTTTCCAGTCTCGAGAAGGAAGTTTAAATAAGTGTGAAGAAGGGTGAGAATATTTGTACATGGCTTTACCTTTAGCCTCACTTGCCAGCGTCATATCATGAGCAATGTGTCGACTACACCCAAGTGCAACAAAAATAATGTCTTGTAATGCTTTTCTTTGCTATACAATGGTCAACTTTGCTTACGTTTATCCAGAACTTGCCTGAAGCCAAGCCAAGGCCATCTCAGCTGTCTTCAACCACAGATCAGTATGTGCACTTTCAAGAAATCACAAGTAAGTAAGTACCGGTACATTCAATGACACTATTGGCCAACTTATGAACTGTCTTGTCTACAAAGATATTTTTGCCAATCTTCACTGTCCCATGCCATTTTAATTCTTAACAGACTTCTCTTGTGCATCTAGTTCTTGGTATCTGTGAAACATCATTTTCTTAACACACTCCTTGTAACTATCTCCAACAACACTATAGGTGCTCCCTTGTAGGCCTAAACCTGCAGTGGCAACACGCCGTTCAGTTTCAATAATTGATGTTCGGCCTTGGTTAGCTTTACCAAGACCTTGTCCATCAGTCCACCCCATCTTCTTCAGTAGCTTGTTTCCAATGTTGTCACTTCCAATGCCTTGTTTCGTTGGCTCTTCATATTTGGAAGCAGCTACTTCCTCCCTTGAGGCAATATAACGTTCCTACAAAAAAATTAATCAATATTACCATGTAAATTTGCCACTTTTTTACTACAGTACTTATTAAGCTGAAACCTATGACTATTAATGTACAATGACATATCAAATGCAGTGATTTCAAGAACATTTCTTCACAAGACACTTGCATGAATCCCATAGCTCCCTAACATTATAATCACAAAATATCGCATTTTTTAGTTTTTATTAACAAACATGTTTGTACTAGATGCAACTGGAAACCCCACAAATATAAAAATACTTATTTCTCTATATATATATGAGAGATTAAGCAAATATTATCTTGTGTGTATGCACATGCACACACACTAAACTATGAACCTTGGTACCTATCACATTAATTACTGACCATCTTTAAAATTAAGCAAGTTTTTACTTTAGATCTTCATGGAGTGAGCTTAAGATTATTACATGCATGACAAAAACAAATTTATAGTTTCATAAGTCCACAAAATAATGTTTCTTTCTCCCTATCATCTCTAATAAGACAAACGAAAGTTAGTGTTCAGCATTTGGTACATATTTCTACACATTTCTATAAAACATTATGCCAAGATACTGGCCAGAGGTAGTACTTGTACATGCAAAATATGTTACAAATGTTTTATTCTGTTGAGTAATTTTAATAACTGTTGAAGCAGTCCAAGGTTGGCTTGTGCCATGACACTTGACAGACAGTTTACTGGCCATTCACAAGGATACTGACTCAACTCACAGCATCAAGCAAAATAGGCTTCAAGTCACAACAATCCAGTTCAGAAAACTTTCTATATTAATTAACACTTTGGCGGTCCTCTCTCCGCACGTTCCAGACTGTAAACGTTCCAGATTCAAGGCCCCACTCAGCAGTGCATATAATGTTTACAATCATTTTATGTTAAGTTAGTATTTCTTGGGTTATAGCTACAAATTTGATGTCAAAATGTTAGCAAATGAATTTTCTAGAGTACAGAAGCAAAAAATTATGTATTTAAAATGGATTATGTGACAAAGATGAATATAGGAATGTTTGTTTAAGGTGAAGGCTCATGGGTTTGCAGAAAGCTTTCTGGTTGGTCCAATTTTGTGGACATACGCTGTCCACAAAATAATTACGATTTTCATTAAATTTTCGGACTGGTTGATGCAAATGGAATTGATCAGGAACTGAAACCCAAAAGTTTAGCAATCGGATGACATGTTTTTACATCATCAGAACGTTTACTGTCAAAGTACGGGTGACACGTTACAGCGTCGTCGGAACACGAAAGTGTTAAAAAAGTAAATAAAAAGGGCAGTGACTATAAAAAAAAAAAAAAAAAAAAAAAAAAATAAATCCAGCACAATTATATCATAAGCAACTACAAAAATGCCCTGCAAATATACTTGCAATGAAATATCCAGTGAAATCTTTTGCTTTTTCATCCAATCACAAAATATTCTTGCCCAAACTTCAACTTGTTTACACCAAGTTTTATGTTGATCACTCAACTCTCCCCCTATCAGATTACCTCTTAGACATCACCATCTCCATTAGAGAAGTAATTATAATAAAGTGCTCGTTAACTGACTGCATCTCCAACAATAATGCAGCTAGTGTATGAAACAAAAATAACATCACAACCCTGTTCACTTTACTAGCCCATTTTTATAAAGCATATAGCTTATTTTGAAGCAGTTTCCAAAATATTTTAACTATTACAAAGAATCAACTTTGCAAAGAAAAATTAATTTAATCTCAAAATTTTTTTTTATATATAAATAAAAAATCAAATCAAATCTTTATAAATCTTTAAACAAAGATTAAATTAAAAATAAGTTTATATCAAACAAGATCACAAATACACAAAAAGAAAATCTGGTCCCATGTATCCATTATCAACTATTTTACAAAATTACCATGGAGAGTACATTATTTTCAATTTGCTCTCTTGCTTCATGGTTAGGCATTTTTTGCTTGCAAAATTTAATCCAAACTGCTAGTAACAAATATAATGCAGTAATAATTTCAATAAAAACTGAAAATTGATGTCCAGCTTTTACCTTTCACAATTAAATTTAGAACCATCACTCTTATGTGCATATATGTATTAGTCCCAAATAATTCTTGAAAGTTTAAATTTGCTAAACTGTAATTACTGTGTGTTGAGGCTCGGTACCCAATCTTGTGAGTAATGTCTAAACTTGAAAGAAAACCTGTTACTTTCTCTCCCTTTGAGTTTCAATGCAAGTATTTTTCACGTGGGATTTGTTTGCTACATTAAATATACTGGATTTAAGAAGGCTTAATTGAGTGTGAAAGCTGGAGTTGTACGACTGCCAGTATGAACCTTAAGTTTGTTGGGTGCAGGTACACTGGGCTCTCCATACTTTTGCCGCCTCTCTTTGGCTCGGTCTCTGTACTGGGCAGATGTCAATCCCGCAGAACCACTGTTTTCTCCTCCTTTCGTCTTCCTCATTGTCTCCAAGTTTGTCTTGTGAAGATCAGATAGCTGTACGTGTCTAGAAAAAAAATATATAGTATATAAAGCCATTCTTAAATTCTGCTAAATTAAATTGAACCCAAAAGTAAGTACATTTTGTTAAACAAGCGTAATCAAACACTACAGTTTATTATTCAAGTACGGTACAGAACTTAGCAGATGTCTCTCTTACCTGCCAAGTGCCTCTTTGTTAGGGAACTGTCTCTTACAAAGAAGGCAAGCCATCTTCACATAATCTACCAGCTTGTCCTCCCACCTGTCATCAGCAGCAGGATTACCCAGCCCTGCTCCACTTTCCTCTTCACTATCACTTCCTTCACCTCCATAAGCTGCCACCAGCCCAGACTTCTTTAGCCCTGCAAGTACCTGGAATAAAACAGTAGGTTTAGCTGTGGCAACATCATCCATCAAACCAGTAGCTACGGATCGAGTGCAGACAACAAATTCAGGTGGTCTCATCTCATACACAATAAAAAAAATAACTTGGCAAAATAAAACTTACAGGGGGAGTTTCCTTCTTCATATGCATGTGGAATACTTGGGCTTGCTTTTCCACCAAAGATGCACGATCTCTTCGCTCCAAAAGAACAGCAAAGGCAGCATCGGCAGCCCCTGTGCCACCACACTCGCCCTTGGCTCCTCCTGCAGGTTCAGCTGATGCAACTTTACTAACCACAGAGCTCTCGTTGCGCTTATTCTGTGCCTTAGCCCACCTCTCCATATCCTTAGCTATTTTCTTTGCCACCTTGACCTATTGGAGAAGAATTAAAGAAATGCTAAAATAAATAAATCAAGATTTTATATACTGAATACAAGAAAACTTGCTCTTTGAGTTAGTGTGATTTAGTGCAGCAGGGAAGGGACTGGAACTTATCAAGGGAAAGTGCAAAACTATTATGACTATATAACATTTGCTCCTTGAATTATTACCAAACAAATACAATTTTTAAATTCTTATGGCCTCATAACTAACCTTATCCTGTTTATCTTTTTCCTTTTCCTTTTTGTCACCTTTCTTGCCGACATGACCATCTTCTCCAATGGGAGCAGGAAGGTACGTCGACTTCTCTGCATCCCAGTATAAGTACTGACCGCTCTCTGCATTATAGTAATACTGACTACTCGCATCATAGTACAGTGTAGTTGATGGATCATAATAGTAGCCTGAAGTTTCATCATACTGGTACGTACTTACATCAGGAGGAGCTGAAATAGCAAACCAATTGTTTTATTGTAGCTAATTTATATTTTAGTGCTGTCCACATAAAATTTACAACTTACACACTCATCTACCAAAGGATTTTTCTTGTTGGACATTTTGAATTTGAATTACTGTACATTCTTGCATTATGTTCCTTACCAAATGTTTTGCAATTCCTGCTGCAACAACAACACAAGTGTGCTTGCACCAACCACGCTTGCACAAAAATACCTGGTGTACATTTTCTTTATTTTTCTCTAAAACACTGTAGTTAACTAATGCTACTGTGAATAATTCAATAATATTCTTACCTATAATTCTTCCATACAACTATAGCAATACCATACTTAGTAAGCCAATTTCCCTCCAAGTTTCTTTGTTTTTCCTTACAGAAATGCTATTTCTGTTCTTTAGTCATTTGGCAATATTAATCACCTGATTGATTAATTGAACTGAAATTGAATATTAATCACCTGATATAATGTATAACTAAAAGTATTCCTCCAAGCTCTTAACTTACGGTAAGTGGGGTAATCTCCAGTTTGCATTTGAACTCCATCAAAGTTTGCAGAGTTTGTCGAGGCCTGTGTGGATGTCTGATCACTAGTGGTGGTTGTAGCTGTGGTAGCCGTAGTATAAGTACTCTGAGCTGCAGCAGCGGCAGCAGCAGCAGCAGCAGCAGCGGCGGCGGCAGCAGCAGCAGTTGAAGAAGCAGTGGCTGCTGACTTCTGGTGCATTGCCTGTAGTGCAGACTGTGCAACAGCTGCTGCAGCATTGACAGAATCGGATTGATTTGAGCTGCCCTGTTGCTGTTGATTTTGTTGGTATGCCTGTTGACAATTATATACAAAACTACTGTATTTAACAGTTTTGTTAAGTGGCACTCAAAATCTAAAACCTCTTTTTACTTTATTCATTAAATTTACATTTAATGAATAAATGGAAGGGGTGGTGTTTATTAAATTCATTAAATTTACATTTAATGAATGATAAAAAAAAATGTTTATGAAGAGACATTACTTCATCATTACACCCTTTCCAACCTTCATAGCTGAATATTGACCCTCTGTGGGTATAGGGAAGGAAGGTTGTGAAAGATGGCAAGATTTAATGCTACAGTCTGGCTATATTTAATTTGAACTTTTTTATCCAGGGCTTTCACTGCTCCACCCAATTCCTTCCTTCAATCGTCCAACTTCAAACTTTGACTGCATCTTTCATCAATCACAAATCACTTCAAACAATGCAAATGCAATCAAGATGGCAGGCAGCAAGCAGTTGAACACAAGGAAGACTGAAGAAAAAATCAGAGAGGCAAAGAGAGCAAGGGAGGGTAAAGAGGGAGGGATGAGAAGAGAAGACAGGGAAGGCTTGGCAGCAGGAGAGTTTATGTCAACGTGTTGCATGATTGTGACAATTTATACACTCAATGTTAAAATATTGTATGTCTAAATTTATCATTACAGTGGCACCTTGCTCGAACAAATTAATTATGACTGGACCTATTCCATTTAACACTTTCGCGCTTTCGATTAGAGATAACTCGTCACTGGTTTTTCTTACGATTCCGCATAACTGCCTACTTTTCTCGTCAATCGAAAAAATATTTCTATAAATTCCATTTTTTAACCGAAATGGATGGGGATACTTTTGTTTTGTAGAGAATTTATTTGCGAATTTTTTGGTACCAGAATGAATATTATATCACATAAACTTCTATGAGTAAAAAAAAAAAAATACACAAAGTATGTTTGGGGGTGTGGCGAGCGTGTGGCAGTGGGTTCCCTTTAGCCGTTGATATATCCAACACGTGGGAAATATTTGTATGTGTTATGTATATGTCTGTGTAGGGAATTTTACTGCGATCACTGTCATACAAATTATAAAATGTTTCAACAAGTATAAACATGACAAACATCAAACGAACGAAAACAATGCGTTCGTTTCTGCCGCGAACGCATACTGAGCGACGTGGTTCTATATTTGGCGCTTCTCTTACACATGCTTTGTACAAATGTTATACAGTTCATCTTATAGAAAATTTTATTGCGAACACATTGGTATAAAAAAGAAATACGTACATAGAAAAGTAGGGTCAGGAAACGTATAAACTTTCCAAGCATGATTTCCCCCCTGTGTTTTCGCCAGTGCGCTCGCGGCTAACTACTCTCCACTTCACACACTCTTGCGGGTGGGCAATTACCTATATTAAACATTCATATGCATATGTCCGTGTAGAGAATTTTATTGTGATTCCAATGATACCAAAATTAGCGATGTAGGACAACTGTAGGCTTCGCAACCATTAAGAGAGTGGAAACATTTTGTTGCTGTTTGGCGCTCTCGGCGAGTGATCTGCATAGTTTTTTATTTGGTGTTGATACTCCTTATGCTTGGGCGGCATTTTATAGGTATGCTCTTATAGACAATTTCATTGCGAACACAGTGATACCAAATTTAAATACGTGCGCCTTCAATTATTGTCAGGACAGTCAAAAGAGTGTACACTTTTTCGGTCTTACCGCGTAGGCGCGCGAAGTGCCAAAAGCATCTGGGGTATTGTTTTTTTTTGAGCGCCGAGAGCGCGAAAGTGTTAACATTCTACTAAACCTAATTTAAGCAATTGTTGCTAATACAGACAACAAAATTATTTGTTAATGTATTTTAAATATACTCAAAGGTAAAAGTTTATGAAAATTGAAAAATTTAAGGAAAAAATTATCATACATCATAGGATCATGGGGTGATGATACGTTGATTTTAGATATTGATACCGGCTTGATGGGGTTCTGAGTTCTTTTACTCCCTAAGCACAGCCCGAGGCCAGGCTTGACTTGTGAGAGCTAGGTTCACCATTCTACACTTTATGTCCACTTTTCCCTATCTATGCAACCATTTTTTTGTGTGTGCAGACAGATATGCATATACAGTATATCCATAGCTGCACTTTGGGGATTAATTCTATTTTTTACTTATCTTAAAGAACAGCTTATTAATCACTTATCATCTCTGTAGCAGGAATATTGGTATACAATACAGTACTGCTATAGTATATTCCATACAAATATGTCACTAAGCTGCTGCATGAACCATAAATAGCTTTCATTTCTTCAATATTTTTTTCACTTGAACTATTACCACCAATTCCCTTGGCACTCACCAGACTTGCTCATTTGTCTAAATCTATTTAGCCTTCCTCCCCAAACCAGAAAGGGTGGTGTTAAGCTAACTTCTTTTCCCATTCCTGATTTAATATAACTAACTCTTGCTGGTAGACCGTTTTTAACTAGGAAATAGTGAAACGACTAAAGTGAAATTGTTAAAAACCACATGGTACATCAGAGATAAACATCAGAGGTCCATGGTTGTTCAACACCCTCCCAGCAAGCATACGAAATATTGCCGGAACAACCGTGGACATTTTCAAGAGGAAACTAGATTTATTCCTCCAAGGAGTGCTGGACCAACCAGGCTGTGGTGCCACCCAAGGTGGCCGCTCCAAGCAACAGCCTAGTGGACCAAACTCTCACAAGTCAAGCCTGGCCTCGGGCCGGGCTTGGAGAGTAGAAGAACTCCCAGAACCCCATCAACCAGGTATCAACCAGGTACAAAGAGGCCCTTCCACATGATCACAGGAAAAAAGCCAGTAGCTAGGAAATATCAGATTACACTAGGGTTACATCCACCACAATTACACAATGTTATTAAATAATGAAGTAAAGAAATGATTTGGCAAAAGATGTAAATGACATTTATTAGCATTTACTACAAAAAGGAAAAAAAAAAAGGAAAAACATTAAAAAATATGATATATGACTTTTTTTTTGGCATGGTGGAACTAACACCATATTTCAGTTCAAGAATTTCTTTATTTACCAATCCTCTCTGGGTCAGCAAGGGTTCCAGTCTACTGTGGTTTATTCAAGCAAGGTCCCACTGCACTCAATTCTAGTTATATCAACTTTCCTGCTACTCTATTGAAACTCCTTATACATAACATGCTATGTATTAAGCAGCAAGCTTTCCTTTATACAATTAAAACATTGTATCTGAGAAACCAAAGAGCAGAGAAGGTTACTGAAGGTGGCATGGCTAACCTGTGCCTGTTGCTGGTAGTACATGGTATAATACTGGACATAAGATGCATGTTCCTCAGGAGTCTGAGCATACAGAGAGGCGCTGTACTCGGCCAGCTGTTTGATGTCTGCTCCGGCAGTGTATTCTGCTGGTTGGTGGTACTGCTGCTGCTGTTGATGTTGGCTTGACCAACTGTTACCTTAACAAGTTTAATATAAACCATTAGCATAACCTAATACATACATCTAATAAACATACATTATCTTTTAAATGTTGATAAATTATAATTTAATAAGAACAGAAGACACTGCATTAGGCCTATTGCATTATATCATACAAATTCACTCTTAACACAATCTCTCACAGTTTAAATTTTTTTTTTAACTCCAGTGACAGGTCTTGCTCCTGAAGACATAACTAAGCACACATATACACTTAGGTAATTACACACATTTACAAACAGTATATATAAAAGTTTTACAAATTAGTATAAGCATTACCTGAGCTGTTGTTACTTCCATTATTCTGGTTGAGTTTGCAATAGGAAATGGTCACCTGAAATAAAACCATTCTATTGTTAAAGATTCTTCCCACAAATTCTAATCATATTTACTCACTTTTTGTACTGAAACTACAACTGAAATAACAAGAAAATATGCAAATAATGTGTCAAATAAGAGAAGACCACAAAGGGTCATTAGTTATACACCTATTTCTCTAACTCATTAAATTATTTCACCAATAAACATTTAGTTCACAATTTTTGTTTGTCTCTCACCAATCTTATATATTCAATGATAATATAAAAGTGAAAAATATTTGGATTCATCTTTACATTCAGAACCTATTAACCAATATCCAAATAGTCTAGAAAATTATTAATTAAGTGCAGCCTCTATACATTGACAATTTTTAAATGCAACGTACATCTTGTGTATCTTTCCTACAATATACATCGTATTAATGTACATGTGCTGGAATATTAATTTTCATGTACATAATTGTGATGTATTCTCTGCATCATATTATAAATTTGTCTTACAGAAACGTCTATAGATTTGACCCTACATAGTGCATTATCAGTGATATAATAACTCTTTACTTAGGTAAACGTACAGTACATACATACAAAATGAGTTACAAGCAGAATGTTGGATTTCTAGATAAGAGCTTGTATATATATATATACTATGCCTAAAGTCACGAATACGCACAGAGTTTCACAGACAATATAGTATGCTGAAGTCATTGTATCTAATGGAAAACTATTTTAGTACTGAAGTCATGGCAGACTTGCATGTATCCTTGTTAATATTCCTCATTCAGATCATTCTTTTTTTGCAAAGTACTGGAATTAAATATTCTGTTATGAAACACAACTGACCTGTTTGTTATCTATGGTTGGAGGGGCATGTGCAAGTTTGTTGTGTAATTGCATAGAGTCTAAGACAGAGTTCAGTTCAATGTAACAGACTCCTCGTGACGTGTTGGTCAGGGGATCTCGTCCGATGCGAACGGACCGAATGGGCAGGTCACTACCGGCATGCTGGATACCTTGTAGGACACTTTCTTCTGTACTTAAAACATCTAAACCCCGCAAAAGAAGAGCTGTGGGGACAAAGTATAACCATTAAAAAATCTTAAAATTATTTTGAATTCATAGCCTATGTTTATCATTTCCATTTTTCTACAATCAAGTTCATGCATATTCTCCATATATAGGGTAGCCCAGTAAAATTAAATCCTTAATGTTTTTAGAGTAAACAGAGTTCTTAAAATTAGCGTACACAGTAAACATACTCCTTACTCAAAGCGTAGTATTAGTGCAGTTGCCTCTCAACCTATCTAGCCAGAGATCAATTGCCAGGCAGTACAAGGCTTTGGGCGCATTACTTTATTACCCTATGTGAATACACACGCACATTACGTGTGTCTATTCACCGAACAGTAAATAGGTACCGGGGAGCTGGGCATCTGTTGTGGGTTGCATCCCAGGAAATGTCAGTTGTTGGCCAAGAGAGATCTCAATAAGCCTAATAGGCTTCCTTTTTTCCGACAACGGGAAACACTTTTGCCTTATCAAAGATTATATATAGAACCATGCCTAACCATTAGGTAGTGGTAACATTTACCACTACTTATGTCTAACCTATATCAACAGTTCACCAAAAACCATTCTTATTACTATTGTTTATGTTTTTTCATACCTTCCCAATTGGGCTGTTCAGCACTATCTGTTGTGCAATATGAAGGAAGGATAACAAGTCTTGACAATATCAATTTAATCCCATCTCCCACACTGTTACATGTATGACAGTGATTGCTTTAACTATTTAACAGATTATGCACTTTCCAGTTTATAATTAACATTACACTGCATCTCTCTCTCTCTCTCATTGCTACTTCCATGGTTAATACAGTGGTGCCTCAATTAACAAATTTAATCTGTTCCGGCACCAAGCTCGTCATGTGGAAAACTCGTCTTGCGAAACAACGCTGTCGTCGAAGGTGTCCGAGAACCAGCGGGAATGCTCATTAATCGAGCAAAAGCTCGTCAGTCGAAACAAATTTTCTGCGAGTGGCTTGCTCATTACTCGAAATCCTCATAACTGGAGTCGCTCGTCACTCAATGCTCCACTGTACTCTCCAAAACTCAGTTGTGTACTGTATTGCCCAGTCAGTGTGTAGTCAAGTAAGCCTTCTCCCAGTCAGTTGGTGTGTGTGTGTGTATAGATCAATGATTATACAGCTGGGTTACCGTATTACAGTGTGTTCTGAATGATTCACCACCCGAGTCTCAAATCTGACTATGCAATTACAGTAGCTACATAATCTTGCATTAATTAGATTCGACTCTAGGGCCCACTTCTTATCTTCTGCAATACCTTTTACTATCATACAAATTTTTCCTTGCTTCTTTCCTCTTCATTTGTGTACAAAACTAATCCAATTATTTCTCGTCAATCATCCTCACTGCTAAATCTTTACCACCAAACCCACTTTCTCTCATTTTTCTATCGATTAATTAAGTTTCATTGATTGACAGTGCCATTTTATACACTTTCAGCTCTCGTATCTGTCAGCAAATACTACCACCACATAATTGTACCTCACAAAGCACTATCTTACTGTTTATGTATTGTCTACAAACTTTAGCAGGCCATTACAAAATATGTTAAAATAACTAAATGTAAAACGTAATACTTCCAAGCTGATGCCCGATGATAACATTACTGCACTACAACCATCGTTGTTTGTAACAACGATGGAAAACACACAATGGAAATTAAGACTTAAAACCGTAAAAAACATTTACAAAACTTTTAAAGACTACCACACTTTACAGTTTTTTTTTAAGAATAGCAGCACCTTTGTGAAGAAAATGGGTCGACTGCTTTATAGGGTCACTTCTGACCAATTCTGGCATACTATAGTAAATTGCCCTGCCAACTCTTGCTAAATATGTACCCCTTATTATTTGCCCTCTATAAGCTCCAGTTCATACTCATGTTTCATCTAGTTACACAAAGTCATCAATTAAAATCTTCCAATTCATATACTTAAACTTACTATTTGTTGGATATGTACAAACTTCATCACTGCCCTCTTCCCCTGCTTCAGACTCATGGCGGGGAGCAGAGCACTTGAAGCAAGAATCACGCCTCTTGAAATTATGAGCACCACACTGCAACAGTGAAGGAAAATCAATACAAACTATTTGTTAATAAAAAATCAATCAATTATTTGTATTAACCTTATATAAGCAAAACTATACTGAACTGTAATAACCTGCATCCAATAATCAACATACCCTGATGCAAAACCAATCTTGTGAAGCCTTCGACTGCCGTTCTGATGACTCCTTCGGGATGGAATACTGTAAAGTTGCTCTATACACTTCTTGCAGAATGAGGACACCCTGCAAAGGAACCCATTAAAAATATTAGTATTTACCCTTGAATAGAATGTCAGAGTCTTACATGAGCTGTTACTTTTGGTCTCCAGTTCAGCCGATAATGGGCTAGAAAAAGAGCAAGTTCTACAGGTAGGAATATAAGTGAAAACAACATTTAATAAACATCCATACAAAGCTAAATTTCATTCATACCTGCGCAGGAGCTCTTCCCTAATCCCATGAATGGCATGAACAGGCAAAAGTGACTAGGCTCAATCTACTGAGGAAGGAGTGCCAACACCCTGGCTGGAGGAGAACCTTGGTGCCGAGACTTTGTTGTTGTGGATGTTCGGGTGAGCACGTTTACTGTTGTGGTTGTAGTTGCTGATGCTGTTAAAGCAGAGGGTCCCGCAGGGTTGCCCTTATCAGGCTTGCTCCTTTGATGATAACATCTCTCATTGGGAGTAGAACAACTGCTACAAGTTTCACTGACTGTCGTAAACATGCATCCTTGAATGTGCTCCAGAGAAGCATATGGGACATAATAAGACCACCTCTTGGATGCAAAATGCTTACGCTAACTAGACAGAATAGGATGCATTGCCTGATATTAAGGGTAAATGACTTTATCTAAACACATTAAGGTACAGTATTTATTATGTAAAGCTGGAGGTGGCCTTAAATCAGTTTATCCCTAGCCATGCTCTAAATGTTATTAAGCCTTAGACAGCTGAGCAAAAAGCTACAGTCTTAGGTTCACTGATTCCTATGTCAGCTTAATCTACTATTGTGAGCAATCACTCCACATTCACACAATGAAGAGAGGAATACATGCTCACATAAACACAGTATCAAGTAACAAAAATGAGCAAGCGTCAATTTGAGAAAAAAAACAAAAAAAAAACAAAAAACAATTAGGATAATTACTGTGCACTCAAAGTGAAGTAAGACTGATGCTTAATATAAGGAAATAAAGGATGAGGGGTGATACTTTCATAACACACACGTACAATAATTGGTCAAGGTCTAACATTAAACAGTTCCTCAAATAAAATGACAAGTTATTGACTCAATATTGGAAGCAAAAATTACAAGAGGAACCAAATGGCTATGATGGTATTGAGGAAGAGGTAAACCCAGTGTTACTGGCAGAGTTGGCTGGCCCATGACCCCTTGGCCGTGGCCAGGGGGCCGGGGACCCTGCCGGGGGAACTGCCTGGGGCCGGGCCGGGCCGGCGGGGATTCACCGCGATACCTGTTTGGCTTCCATCCACCGTGTGGCGTCATGTACCGTCGTAAACTCCACGAAGGCAAAGCCTCTTGATGCACCTAGACGCAAGAACACACACAAGCAAGTGTTAATTAATGATGTTCTTAAAGGAGGCATGAGGGACACTCAACGTCGCACCCTCAAATGGCCGTGAGTTGGCCCTGTGGCCACTAACCAGCCACTTTGTGCCCACCTAGCTGGCTTTTAAATTTTACTCTTTCAATGGCCTCTTTCAGGTCACAGGGGCCCACTAATATATGAACAAGTAATAATACAGCTGCATTGGTGTAAAGAAAAGATATTTCTCATTATCCATCAAATTCTCCAAACAACCTCATGCATCATCAAACTGTGAAATATACATTCAAGAAAACACTTTATACACACGTATACACAAGCACACACAATTCACTGCTCAAGATGTTTAAGGAATCGTTGGTGTTCCCCTACTGCTGCATTCCTGCATCAATCTTTTAAGGGTGCAAGGAACACAATTAGGAAATATTTATACATGTTATTAAGAATGAATTACCAAAAAAGTAACTGCTGTTTTAGAATTTTGCTACAATATACAATATATTTACAGCTTTCATGCTAAACATAGAATAGTAATTTGATGACATACTTTTTAAAACTTATATTCACTTATATTCAAGAACTCCATAGGGAAGTTTTAAAATTTACAAAATAGCTGTATTTTTGAGCAGTACTAATAATGAAAACCCTATCCATGACCCCAAGTACTCACAATCTCGGGCCATATGACAACAATGCTGCTTGTCTGCAAAACATGTCTTAGGTACCTGGAAGAATTTTCTTTAGTGCTCAGTAAACCTGTATAAATTGTTTTGGCAACCCTGTGACCTAGACCTCCCTTCAGCCAGCGAGGTAAACACAGGTGGACAGGAAAGATCATGGATAACAGAAAATGGGAACTAAAACATAAAAACATAGGAGTCCAGGGAGGTTAGGCCCAATGGAATGCTACTTTACCTGATTCTTTTTTCCTGACGAGCCTGATGTCCTTTGGCATGAGATTACAGGCTAGGATATCTGCACGAATCTGGAAAATAAACAATGTCCATAGGCTTAAAATTGTATTTTGCATTTTACGGTGCTAATGCCCCGTGAACTATACATTATCAGCAGCACAGTTCAGGTGTATGTCACTATACATTTTCAGTGGCAAAGTTCAGGTGTAAGACATTATACATTCTCAGTGGCAGAGTTCAGGAGTGTGTCACTATACATTCTCAGCAGCACAGCTCAGATGTATGACCTTATACATTCTCAGTGGCAGAGCTCGGGTGTATGTCACTATACATCTTCAGTGACAGAGTTCAGGTGTGTCATTATACATTCTCAGTGGCAGAGCTCAGGTGTGTCATTATACATTCTCAGTGGCAGAGCTCAGGTGTGTCATTATACATTCTCAGTGGCGGAGCTCAGGTGTATGTCACTATACATTCTCAGTGGCACAGCTCAGGTGTATGTCACTATACATTCTCAGTGGCACAGCTCAGATGTATGTCACTATACATTCTCAGTGGCGGAGCTCAGGTGTATGTCACTATACATTATCAGTGGCAGAGCTCAGGTGTATGTCACTATACATTCTCAGTGGCACAGCTCAGGTGTATGCCACTATACATTCTCAGTGGCACAGCTCAGAAGTATGTCACTATACATTCTCAGTGGCGGAGCTCAGGTGTATGTCACTATACATTATCAGTGGCAGAGCTCAGGTGTATGTCACTATACATTATCAGTGGCAGAGCTCAGGTGTATGTCAATATACATTCTCAGTGGCAGAGCTCAGGTGTATGTCACTATACATTCTCAGTGGCAGAGCTCAGGTGTATGTCACTATACATTATCAGTGGCAGAGCTCAGGTGTATGTCACTATACATTCTCAGTGGCAGAGCTCAGGTGTATGTCACTATACATTCTCAGTGGCAGAGCTCAGGTGTATGTCACTATACATTCTCAGTGGCAGAGCTCAGGTGTATGTCACTATACATTCTCAGTGGCGGAGCTCAGGTGTATGTCACTATACATTCTCAGTGGCGGAGCTCAGGTGTATGTCACTATACATTCTCAGTGGCAGAGCTCAGGTGTATGTCACTATACATTATCAGCAACACAGCTCAGGTGTTTGTCACTACTGTATACATTATCAGCAGCACAGCTCACGAGTATTTTACTATATACATCAACAAAACTTACATCATTCTCAGTAATGTGCTGTGCCAACCCTCGGACCATGATTGTGTTGTTGGGTGGTTGAGACTTGTAATCTGTTCGTTCTTCATCATAACTGTAAGAGGATAATATGAAATTTAATGGTTACTGGTAATTCGTGACAATAACTACTACCATAGCTTTTTTTTTTTAAAGCTTTTATGACTTGACACATTACACATTCAAGTTAATCTAGAAAAATATCATTTCTAGGTAATAAAATTTTATTAGCAGCTGTTTTATTATTACTGGTAATACCATATATTACCTAGATTTATTCGAACATGTTGCCAACTAAATGATCTTGTATGGACAAATAGATTTGCAACTTCAGAAATAAAAGCCTGAACTTGGACACATGTTGGTATGTTAGCTCTAAATAATAGCATAAGGTGTCCAAAAGGCATAAAAATAAAGAAATGGAAACAGAAAAAATAAAAGTGTTACCAGTTAAGTCACATTTTAAATAAAAGATCTATCACGTAAGTTAAATACAGTATTGTACCTCAAAAATCAAATGCTAAGTTTGTTTCTTGATTATTAACAAAATCCTACATAATCCTTCTTAAAAATAAAAATTAATTTAATCATAAAAATACAAATTTTTACCACGTCTTAATAATGGTTACTCAAATAATTTGAGATCTACTGCAATATTTGTATACCACACTGTAATTTTAACGTTTTATTCAACTTTGATATTCTAAAATAAATTTAAATCCACTAATGCTTCTATATCAGCCAAGAGTAAGTCTGGCGACATACAATCAAACAATATTTGTGGCAAAATTTTATATCAAACATACACAGAAATTCGTGTCCATTTTCACATTAATCTAAACATTACAAACTAATGTGATGTGATTTTTAAGTAAAATCCAGATCCTAGTTCACCAAAATTCCGGAAAATGTCGACCAGAGTTTTAAGCATAGATGAACAATTTAAACATTCACACATAAGCAAAAATTCTAACCTAGATAGCTACTTGAGTGCATTAACATGGCAAGCAAATAATGAGCACCAATACTTACTGATCTCTACTATGGTGATCATAGTCTCTATAGTCTCTGTGGTCACGCTCACGACGAGGGCTGCGGTCACGGTCGTCGTCCCTCCAGCGATCACGATCACGATCTCTATCACGGTCTCTATCCCTATCCCTATCTCTGTCCCGGTCTCTGTCACGATCACGGTCCCTGCGGTCTCTATCCCTATCTCTCCTGTCCCTATCACGATCACGATCTCTGTCTCTGCGCCGATCCTCACGGTCACGGCGTTCCCGATGGCGTGGGGGATCTGGCTCGTAAGTAGCTGCTGCATAACTATCATAAGGGTCTAAGCTACTACGGCCATGTCCACGTCCACTTCCTGGTGCAGCTGCTGAAGCAATGTATGCACCCTGTCAAAAGAAAATGTTATATATACTAATATTATCATAATGTGTTATTATTTAATATATATATATACACATACACACACACATAGGTACAAAATATATATATAAAACCACTGAATATATAACAGTACTGTATAATGGCATCCACTTTACCAGCATAAAATAGTCTCCACACAGATCATTTCAAAGATACGTAAAGCAGCATATACAATATTAGCATTTGATGACACACCTGTGTAACATACTGAGGATACTGAGCATATGCTGCAGCCTCCAAGCTACCGTACGCTGCAGCGGCTGTGTACATGTGTTGCTGAGCAGCCATGGCATTTATCATCTCTGTTAAACCAAGACCCTGGCCCTGTAACTGTACAAATAATATTTGGCTCACTTTAATGGAAAATTAATAGAATTGTTCATTATTTTTTAAAATATTATTTATTTGAACAATCACCACAAACCCAAGATACAATATACTACAAATACATGGTAGTCCAAATTCTTCACCGTAGGGTAAATTGTTGCCTTTTACGGTATAACTATTTTCTAGATATGCTCTGTACTGTACATATATTTTTTATTTTTTTCCCATATACCCTACAAGAATGCCTTTGTCAAACCAGGGAAGACTTGAAAGCTATGGTGTATCAGGAAAAGGATACAAAACATGAATCACTTATAGGAATACATCAGAAATGTAATTTTGCACATGACCCAAGATTTGTAAACACAAGATCACCATGAGTGGGAGAGTCCTATGTGAATGTGTTTTCAAGTACAATAATAGCAACCATGAACAGTACTGTATATACATATTGTAAATACGGTTACACTTTGATAAAAAAAAAAAGTTCAATTTTCCCTATGAAAGGAGACTTTGGACAACCCTGTATAACAAAATGGCCCTCTATTTTCTATTATCAGCGTCTTTAAATACAGAAGAACAATACAGACCTGTAATCAAATATTTTGTTATATTATTATAGTATCAGTTTCTAAACGAACAAAATAACCACATGCTTTCCAAGTGCCTCCAGACCGAGACCAGCTAAAAACCTAATGTTTATGAAAAGCTCATGTCATCCTGAAAACTCAAGTTTTTTTTCTAATTTTTTACCAACCGTTCAGAATAATAATAATAAGGCAGACACTATTTATACCCATTAGTTTTCCCACACTACTAGCAAATTTTACTGAGCAATATTTTTTTCCAACCTGTTATTTAATGAATAACTTAACTGTACAGAATTTCCTGTACATATCCAGTATGTCTTACTCCTAAGCCTCTAAACTTTATTTTTTATAAGTAGCACCCTGACTCCATACGAACAAAAATGCATGAAACAAAGTGAAAACCAATCACAATTTTGTTTTACCTGTGTGCAATAGCTATCCCATGGCCCAAACATTCTTTCAGTCAAGTTTTCAATAACATTTTAATTAATTATAAAAACTAGTATTTATGGAGACAGAGGCTAATACAATATTTAGTTCTATGCAAAATCTTCACTCTTAAAATTAAACTAGCTGTAAAACTTTCTCAAATCAGGCCCACTGACTTTCCTATACTATATAAAATAAACTGTTTTAATATGAAATACAGTATGACGATAAAAGGGCTAATTAATTTTTAAGGAGACATGGTCTCCTAGTCAGGATCAGAATGTTAAAATATATCCAGAAATATCATGAGAATGAATGCTCAATTCACCCATCAAACAAAACCATATCTGGGTCCAGGGCCTGTGCTAGTCACATGGACACCGGGCATTTAAGTGGTACCTGTGGTAGTCACAAGACAAACTACACCTCCCTACTGTTTGCTCTTGCAGCCTTTTGCAAAATTTACTCGGACTAGCACTTTAACTAACTAACTTTTAAATAGACTGTCCTAAAAACAAAAAAAGCATCCTGGACAAGTTGTGCCTGGAAGCCATGTGGTCATTATTATCTCTCCGATCTTCAATACTCTTCCCCCACAAAACACCCTAAGAGGGTCCAACAAATGACCTATGACTGAGATACCTCTATATGGAACCTTGTTAATTAACTGCTCCATAAACTTAGTTAAGAGAAAAATATTCCTGGTAATTTAACCTTTCAAATGCACATGACAAAGTTCTCACCATTTATGATCACATTGCACAAGACAATGACGTGTTTTAAAGTACTGCATAACATTTAAATTTTAATACAAGGGTCAGCTATCAGTGAACTCGCTGCTAATTACAGGCAGACATCTACAGCAAATAGTCTATGTTTATGCCTCATGAAAAGGGACCTCATGTTCCTTTAGAAAATTAACTTGCTGGAAATTATTCATATTCATGACTTAGTAACTAGGATTCTGATGATAATAGCAGTACTGTGACTGAAGTGAGTGATGTACGTAGTATATTTGGAGGCTTTGTCAGGTGCCGTCACCACCTGACTAGCAAGTGGAAATATGCTGTGCTTATATTGCAGGATTACCACAATTACTTTGTGGTTCATGTTGTTGCATAAAAATGAGGATAGTTACCGGTATACATAACATGTGTATACAGTGTAATAACAGCAAAAACAGAATGTTTTATTGTTCAAAGAATATAAGACTGTGTGCATACTAGTGACATGAATTTATCTGAACATACCTACGTTCGGTATGTTCCGTGATATATAATATAATTAACTGAATCATTACACCCTAAAAAATATTGTAAAATTAATATAAAAATAAAGAAAATATAATATATTCAGTGTGTGTGTTGTTACAACTTTATGCAAAATATGGGGAGGGCTAGACTGAACTCTGATCATTGCTAACAATACTATTACACCCACCAGAACTGCTTGTGGGTTTGTAATGCTGCATAAAAATGTTGATACTGTATAATATAAACGTGCGTATACAGTACAACAAAAGCAAAAACAGCACATTTCAGTGTTCTAATAATATAATATAGTGTTCATATTAGTGATATGAATATATACAAGCATACTGATGTTCTGCACATTTTATTATATAAATTTCTGAAATGACATACAATTACTGCCATAATATTACTGTCGTATAACGTGTGAAAAAGCAAATGAGTGATGGAGTAAATATGTAAAAATATTTTCACGGCATATCTCGCCCCAGGTAACCTCCATGGGGCGACTATTCCATGAACGCTCATGAACATGAGGGCATCGCGAGATTTCCTAGCTCCATCGTGGCTAAAGCCACAATTCTTTTTAATTTTCCTGTGATCCAGGAGTGAATTTTAACAATACATTGTCATCTCTTCATCTTCTGGTCTGTGGTTTGATCATCTTATTTCAACAATACTAGAAGAAAAATAAATTTGAGAACTTCTTTCCAATGCACCAGGGAATTGTCTCATATAAACAGGGGGTTAAGCACCAATCCATAATACATAGGGACAAACCTAGGTGCATCCTAAACACTCGAGATCAATATTATTTAATTGAGAAGGAAGCAGAGGGTAACTACAGTATTTTAACCACTTAAATTTTTTTACAAAAGGGAACATTTAATTTTCCAAGTACACTGAAATATCATTGGTAATAAGCATTATTTACTAAAACAATACCAAGAGAAGTTATCAAGCATGAGAAGTCACCCAAAGGCCAAGACTATATAATGTTGTTAATAGGCAACTAAAAATCTACACAAGAGTTACATAACTTACACCCTAAAAACTGTGTAAATAAAAAAAAAGCTTCCAAACACCTACAAAATGACACTTTTTTTTTTTTCCTAGTTTTTACTAAAAAAAAAAAACCATCTACTTTAACATTGATGTTTAATGCTCCCTCAACTTTCCTGTTCCAAATTTAGCACATATAATGTTTAAAATGCTTGGAATGCACTGATGCATAAATATATCACAAAATGTATGCAAAGATAAGGCTACTATAGCAAAATAAAAAGTATTATTTGTATTATACTGTACTATACATTCTGCATTACAAAATGTTATTTCCTAATCAATTTTTATCACTCAGGTAAAATAATTGAAGACGTTCTTACAACTACAGAGATACACAAATTAAAGAATTATCAAAGACAATGAATGATACACTCAAGAGAACCTCTTAATTTTGTTATATTGATGATAATAAGCACATAGTAAGGTGGGAAGAATTTAAAGTTAAGAGTATTGTTTGAAATTGGAATACCGAAGTGCAGGAAAAATTTTGTTGGGCAGGCTTAATGAACATGGAAAATTAAGGAACTACTCTACCTGCCTTGAATTTTATTAGTAACTGACACAGCAAAACTTGCTGCTTTTGGAAATGCAGCTACTTATCATGGTTCTTTGTGTCACTATGATGCAAGAGGGGGTTAATGGAACAGAGGTGCATAGCTGGAATAAATAGTGAATGATATAGGAAGCTGTTTTGAGTTACCAAGGCTGGCAATACTGTACTGTCAAAAGCTATGTCCTCAGGAATCACATGCACATGCAAGAATTGTCTGAATTACAAAAGGACAGGATATCTATGCCTGATACAGATAATTATTGATACTGTAGTGACTTTTTTACCCATATCACCAGTGAACACCAGGCCTTAAACATTCAAAGGAAAATCCTTATCTCAAATGTGACTTAATAAATTTTTTTTTTTTTTTAAAAGATGCTAATGATGCTGGGGTGACTGCTGTGATGTTGCAAAGCGTTGACTTTTATGTAGAAAAAAGAAATGAAATTTTTTGAAAACCAAATGTCAAAAAGGTTCGTTTGGTGTTCGACAGATAGGCTGCTCCATGTTTCTTAAATAAAAAAAAGGGTTGAAACAATTTGAAAAACAGTCAAATGCCATAAAGGTTCATTCAGTTTGTTGGGTAGACTACTCCATTATTGAAACATAAATGAAAAATACAAAACAAATGCAACACATTCGAAACAAAGAAAGATTGTCATAATGTTGCAGCTTACCCGACAAACACTGAATGAACCTTTATGGCATTTGTTTTTCAAATTGTTTCAATGTTTTATTATTTTTAATTTTTTTTTTATTTAACACTATCGCCCGTGCCACGCATGTACCGCAGACTTTGACGTCATGGGGCTAATGGTGTGGGCGAGCGTGCGGCGACGCCTAAATGTATATACTTATTTCAGTTTTCTCAACTTAATTCTTGTGCTACGTTGTTCGTTTTGGTATCATTGTGTTTGCAATTAAATTCCCTGCAGATGTATATGCATATAATGTCCAAAAGCCTGGCGAGACTCCCTGCAGCAAAGCCTAAAGTTACCCGTGAACGAGCACCAATTTGCACACCACAACCTAATGTGTATACTCGTTCAGTTTGATAACATCAATTTTCATGTTACATTGCTCGTTTTGGTATCGCAATATAATTGTTCGCAATATAAAGGTGCGCATTGTAAAGCTAGTCTCATAATAATAGAGCAATAACTAGAATTTTAACAAATATTTTAATTTTTGATGCTCATCATAAAAATTATTTATATCTTTCCAGGGTTGACATCAATTTTCATGTTACATCGCTCGTTTTGGTATCAAATTGTTCGCAATATAAAGGCGTGCATCTTAAAACTAGTCCCATACTAATACTGTAGCACAATAAATAGAATTTTAACAAATATTTAAAAAATTTAAATTTAGACCCAAAAACGTATTTATAATCTTTCAAGCGTTCTGACATCAAGTTTCGTGTTACATCTTTCATTTTGGTATCAAATTGTGCACATTCTAAAGGCGCTTATTTTGAAAGTATCTCGAGGTCGATCGGATAAAAAATTAATTTTATACAAATATTTTTGTAGTGGACGAGAGTCCTGTCCACGGCTAGGACTCAAGAGAGAAAAATGGACGTGATCGGTGTCCGAAGCGAGCGATAGTGTTAAGAAATATGGAGCAGCCTACCTGCTGAACACCGAACGAACCTTTTGCTAGATAGATAGATAGATAATATAACCAACCCTATATATATACTGTATATATATATATATATATATATATATATATATATATATATATATATATATATATATATATATATATATATATATATATATATATATATATATAAATAATAATATAATGAACAAATATGAAGACAGAAAAATGTCATAAAGGTTTGTTCAGTGTATGTAACGTAGCCTGCTCCATTATTTAAAACATCGAATATCGGATTAATTTGATTTCCATTATTGTCAATGGGGAAATTCGTTTTGTATGACGCCCGTTTCACATGACGACCACGGCGCCAGAACAGATTAAATTTGTTATTCGAGATTCACCTGTAATTACATAAAAAGACACATCCATTCCTAATCAGAATAAAAGTTAAGAGAAACTGTTTGTAGTGAACTGCAAAGAAAAAATGGAAGGTGTAGTCTTCCTGTGGGGACAGCCACCCCTCATCTCATATATCTCATTTTGTATGTTATGGTCCCCAACGTACAAATTACAATGTATTATAAATAGTGGCTCATAAATATCTCATATCATATACAGTATATGTTAGTTAACACTTTGACGCAAGGGTGGTGCCGGAGAACGTTACCAACTTTTCTCCTGAGTGTGCGCGACGAACTCGTTCACGAGTCACAAGAAAAAATATTTGTATAAAATCTATTTTCTCTCCGATCGACTTGGGGATAGTTTACAAATGTTCGCCATGAAATTTACGTTTTCTCTAATAGCCGAAGAGCTTATTTGGGAGAACGGCATGGCATTGCATCATCGTGGTAAAACAATTGTATTATTGACACGAGTATAATCGACGTAGTTTTTTTATTTGTTGCCGGCCTAACGCATCCTTATGTTCTTCTAGAACATTCTATTGCGAACACATTGGTACAAAAATGAAATACGTACATCGAAAATTAATGTCAGGAGAGTGTAAAGAATATACACTTTTCAATTCGGGTTTCGTCGATATGCTGCCACTTCGGCCACTTCCAACACTCTTGCGGGTGGGCTGTGACATTGATTCTATATTTATAAGCATATGTCCGCGTAGGGAATTTTATTGGGATTTTAGTGATATCAAAATTAACGCTGTAGGACAAGTGTGGAGTTGACAACCCTGAAGAGTAGAAACATTTCGTTGCTGTCTGGCACTCACGACTAATGATCGACGTAGTTCTTTATATGGTGCTGATCTAACTCATGTTTTGGTGACATTTTATACTTATGTTCTTCTAGAACATTCTATTGTGAACACATTGGTACAAAAATGAAATATGTACATCGAAGTAGATTGCTTGGGTTTATACGTTTTAGGTTAGATTAATACTTTCTATTTTGTTTGTTATGGTAAATCAAGAGAATGGGCTGGGGACAAGGCTTATATTTTGAGCCGCACGGATAGAACCATTACTATACTTAAGAAAGGAAAGAAGCAAAGTGTAATTTCACAAGTTACTGAAGAGCCCTTGGCACTGGTACAGGTGACAGGATATAAATACTGTACAGTATATTGAACATATATAACCATGTATCAGATTCTGCTGTAAATATGGTCAAACACCTTGAAATATACGACAAGAGAATGTCATAGATACTTTAATTAACTAGTGACTGACGAGTCTGACAATTCTACATGTATTGTAAACACTGGTCCAAAAAATATTATCAGACTGTTAGAAGATAACCTTAGGAAGCTTTTGCAGTGATTAATGTGTTAGCACTATGTAAACAAACTTCCTCTGCACTATTTGTTGTAACATCTAATAAGGGCTGCTGGATCCTCTGACCCTGTTGTGTAGTAAGTATTGCCACCTGGTAGTGGTCAAACAGCAGGTACAGTAATTTACTATCCATTAATTAGTAAAGTAATTGGCTATCGTAATACCAATCATTAATAGGGTGCCAAGGGGTTTGCTCCTGGGAAGGATTGTGACAATTGTCTCCCTTCTACAACTAAGTGGCAAGACCATTTTAAAAAGTACCTTGTCATGGTGGGGTATAATCGACAAGAGCCTGGTATGTGAGCAGTGTCCCTGGAAGATGCTGGCTGATGGCTCAGAGAGCAATGAAGGGGCCATGCTCAGAAAGTCCTGCAGTGTTCAACAGTATACTAGGTGGTATCCAATGTCATATCACAATTACAATACAGTATCCACTACCTTCTGTAACAAATGCTAAGAATCAAAATACAACTTACCTCCATTTTCCAGAATCAATGAAGTTTGTCCTGAAATGTCAAAAATGTTTTTGGTTAGGCAAATCTAAAAACTTTTAGACCATCAATAAAGGTGCAAACTTATATGAATAAAAATTAGTAAGGCAGAATATAACAATGCATGATTTATCCAGTCTTTGGCATGAAATTATGCAATACTGAATAAATTTCTGTATGTACAACTACAGCATAGAGGACTGTAGTGCCTTACACAATAAACCTCTTACTATACCTTTGAAGTATAGTACAGTACAAGGTACTGGGATCAAGACAAGCAAGTGCCTCATCTTCAGCTGTTAACCCTTAAAGTACAGTCATCATAACATATTCAACTTCTAGTACAATGTGTAACATTTAATAATGATCAATTTATTAATAATTCACATTACTGTAGCAGGTAGCCTTTGTCGGACCTACTGAGGTCCCCCTAGGCCAACTAGTGCTCTTCTTCCCAATGATGCAACTCACAATAATTTCCTAACTCCTGGGTACCCATATTTGTTAGGTGAACAGAAGCATGAGGTGAAAAACATGCCTAACCACATCTTTCCTGCTCATTGATTGAACTAAGGTTCCCTTCAGTTGTGAGCCAAGGACATATATATATATATATATATATATATATATATATATATATATATATATATATATATATATATATATATATATATATATATATATATATATATATATATATATATATATATATATATATATATATATATATATATATATATATATATATATATATATATATATATATATATATATATATATATATATATATATATATATATATTTTATTAAATATGACCGAAAAAGTAAGATTAATAATTCTAACACGAATTTTCTCAATCTTTCGTACATTATGCTTCACTGTTGGAGGTAAATCAAAAATCACTTCTCCAAAATTCATTTTTATTTCTAGTCTGACGCGACACGGGCGCGTTTCGTAAAACTTATTACATTTTCAAAGACTTCACAAATACACAACTGATTAGAACTTGCGTTTCCCTGATTTTATATCTACATTTGAGTGAGGTGGGAAGGGTGATGTGGCATTACATTTGAGTGAGGTGGGAAGGATGATGTGGCATTAGAGGATATTAATAGGGTATTAAAAGTATCAACACAAGACAGAACACGAAACAATGGATATTGAATAGAAGTGTTTGTAGAAAGCCTATTGGTCCATATTTCTTGATGCTTCTATATTGGAGCGGAGTCTTGAGGTGGGTAGAATATAGTTGTGCAATAATTGGCTGTTGATTGCTGGTGTTGACTTCTTGATGTGTAGTGCCTCGCAAACGTCAAGCCGCCTGCTATCGCTGTATCTATCGATGATTTCTGTGTTGTTTACTAGGATTTCTCTGGCGATGGTTTGGTTATGGGAAGAGATTATATGTTCCTTAATGGAGCCCTGTTGTTTATGCATCGTTAAACGCCTAGAAAGAGATGTTGTTGTCTTGCCTATATACTGGGTTTTTTGGAGCTTACAGTCCCCAAGTGGGCATTTGAAGGCATAGACGACGTTAGTCTCTTTTAAAGCGTTCTGTTTCGTGTCTGGAGAGTTTCTCATGAGTAGGCTGGCCGTTTTTCTGGTTTTATAGTAAATCGTCAGTTGTATCCTCTGATTTTTGTCTGTAGGGATAACGTTTCTATTAACAATATCTTTCAGGACCCTTTCCTCTGTTTTATGAGCTGTGGAAAAGAAGTTCCTGTAAAATAGTCTAATAGGGGGTATAGGTGTTGTGTTAGTTGTCTCTTCGGAGGTTGCATGGCTTTTCACTTTCCTTCTTATGATGTCTTCGATGAAACCATTGGAGAAGCCGTTATTGACTAGAACCTGCCTTACCCTACAGAGTTCTTCGTCGACTTGCTTCCATTCTGAGCTGTGGCTGAGAGCACGGTCGACGTATGCGTTAACAACACTCCTCTTGTACCTGTCAGGGCAGTCGCTGTTGGCATTTAGGCACATTCCTATGTTTGTTTCCTTTGTGTAGACTGCAGTGTGGAAACCTCCGCCCTTTTCCATGACTGTTACATCTAGAAAAGGCAGCTTCCCATCCTTTTCCGTCTCGTAAGTGAAACGCAGCACGGAACTCTGCTCAAATGCCTCCTTCAGCTCCTGCAGATGTCTGACATCAGGTACCTGTGTAAAAATGTCGTCAACATACCTGCAGTATATGGCCGGTTTCAAGTTCATGTCGACTAAGACTTTTTGCTCGATGGTACCCATGTAGAAGTTTGCAAACAGGACACCTAGGGGAGAACCCATAGCGACCCCATCTACTTGCTTATACATATGCCCATCCGGGCTCAAGAAGGGTGCCTCTTTAGTACAAGCTTGGAGTAGTTTCCTCAGAATACTTTCTGGCATGTCAAGAGGAGTACAGGCTGGAGATACACTATGGATCAAATGCCCACTTGGGGAAAGCTCAAAAAACCCACAACATCTCTTTCTAGGCGTTTAACGATGCATAAACAACAGGGCTCCATTAAGGAACATATAATCTCTTCCCATAACCAAACCATCGCCAGAGAAATCCTAGTAAACAACACAGAAATCATCGATAGATACAGCGATAGCAGGCGGCTTGACGTTTGCGAGGCACTACACATCAAGAAGTCAACACCAGCAATCAACAGCCAATTATTGCACAACTATATTCTACCCACCTCAAGACTCCGCTCCAATATAGAAGCATCAAGAAATATGGACCAATAGGCTTTCTACAAACACTTCTATTCAATATCCATTGTTTCGTGTTCTGTCTTGTGTTGATACTTTTAATACCCTATTAATATCCTCTAATGCCACATCATCCTTCCCACCTCACTCAAATGTAATGCCACATCACCCTTCCCACCTCACTCAAATGTAGATATAAAATCAGGGAAACGCAAGTTCTAATCAGTTGTGTATTTGTGAAGTCTTTGAAAATGTAATAAGTTTTACGAAACGCGCCCGTGTCGCGTCAGACTAGAAATAAAAATGAATTTTGGAGAAGTGATTTTTGATTTACCTCCAACAGTGAAGCATAATGTACGAAAGATTGAGAAAATTCGTGTTAGAATTATTAATCTTACTTTTTCGGTCATATTTAATAAAATATGTCTACAGGAAAGACTGCTACCAAAATATACTAATATATATATATATATATATATATATATATATATATATATATATATATATATATATATATATATATATATATATATATATATATATATATATATATATATATATATATGTATATATATATATATATGTATATATATATGTATATATATATATATATATATATATATGTATATGTATATATATATGTATATGTATATATATATATATATGTATATATATATATATATGTATATATATATATATATGCGAACAAGCCAGAATGGTCCCCTGGACAATATGCAACTGAAAACTCACACCCCAGAAGTGACTCGAACCCATACTCCCAGAAGCAACGCAACTGGTATGTACAAGACGCCTTAATCCACTTGACCATCACGACCGGACAAAATGAGGTGATAGCCGAGGCTATTTGAACCACCCCACCGCCGGCACTCGGATAGTTATCTTGGGCATAGCATTTTACCAAATCACCTCATTCTTAGGGGCACACGTGAGGAACACAAATGCGAACAAGCCAGAATGGTCCCCTGGACAATTTGCAACTGAAAACTCACACCCCAGAAGTGACTCGAACCCATACTCCCAGAAGCAACGCAACTGGTATACTGTACCACTAATCTATTTGCATAAATGTTTGATTACCAATTCTGCCTATATGAATCCAATAGCTCAATGGCATCCCTTAGCAGTCATAGCAGGCAACAAAATAATTTGTAGTTAGACTTTAGTTAGACTTCAGCTATTGGTCCCCCATCTTCATGTAGCACTTATAGTACTGACTCCAACATAGAAATGTTCAGTATATATAAATTAATTTAAATTTTGCATACAGATTCCTTACTTTTTAATATACAGCACTCTACTGTTTTGTATTTCATATGAAAAATAAAAACTACCATTTGCCTGTATATAAGACATGCTTTTTTATTTTTAAAGGTATAAAAAAATTGCCCTGCGTCTAATGCAGCTGTTTTATGGATGGGAGCCCTAGTGCCATAGGCTAGAGGGGTCGGACAGGCATACTGGGTAAGTTTGTGAGGCACAAAAATCGTTAATAATAAGATATTGGAAACAAGCCAAATTATTACAGTAAATTGTGTTACTAATAATAATAAAATTTAGACATCAAGCCAAATTATCAGTCTAATCGCAAACTTGCGAAAAATTGCCTATGATCCATCGGCAGTTATAAGGGAAGCGCACATCACCTTACCCAGTATACATAACCCAAAACTAATGTATGTCTTACATTATTTAATAACTGTGTTACCTTTAAGAAACATTTATTCATTATCCAAATGAAAAATGCTCCTAGAAATTTGAAAGGAATGTTAAAACTTTAATCCGCCTGTCAGCAATTTGCAATGTGGAAATGTTCTTCACCAAGAACACAGCACTGCGACAATGTGCCACCCCTGGGTGCATTACACTGGTGGCCTGTTGCGGTAACACAAATCATCACTTGCAGACATACAAGTTTCACATTCTGTATAGCAATACTATAAAAACACACTAAAGATACTAAAAAAAAAAAAATCAACAAAATATCTTTGTAAAATAAAGGGTGCGTCTTTCGCAAGGGTACGTTTTGTACGCTGGCAAATATGGAAATTTTGTTTGGTTCTGGCTCTCATCAAAATTTAATCAGATAAATATCAAAAGGAATGTTAACCACAGCCCAGGCCAAAATATAGGAAAATATATATCTTTTAGTTTGTATCGTCCATAAGAACTAAGATATATACTGTATACTGGTATATATATTTTTTCCACAGAGTAACTATTTTGATGACAGCTGCACTTTGAGGGTTAACTATATGCAGGAAAATTATGAACATTTTCAATATTTAGATCTAAAAGTAAGGATTCATGAGGTTTGTATGATTACATTGTTAAATAATTACTGTGAATAAATTCCTCAACCCGTCGCTCATTGATAAATGCCAAATGCTCGTTAATCCACCCATCAATCCAATCCCATTTATGAATGAAATACATTACACACGACTCGCAACTGATGATGTGTACTTTTTTCCAAGCAGTGCTTCGTTCACATCCTCTGCCCGAATCGCACCTCTAAAAATGCTCCATCCACGTACTGCAAATACAGATAACTGCCAACAGAACCTAACCACCTAAAGTAGGGTACACCCTAGAATTACACACAGAGATCACACTAACGTGATGCATCAAATGAACAAATGCACAAGGGCTGTGAAGAGGATTCGAACCTGTGTCCGGGAGCCCTAGAATCTCAATCTCTTGAATATTAATTGCAAATAAAAAAATTGTATCAACAAAGTAGACAGCTTCTTTGGCTTTCTTTATTATGTTCTTGCAGGCCCATGAGGGTTGTGCACTATTGGAAAACAATAGGGTAACACAAACATACCTTCCCTTCCACTTCAGCTACCTATTTTCATGACCTAACATTAAAAATAAAGTTCACTTCTCCTTTCTCGCAACAATAAATTAGGCTGAGAATCACTAATGCTATATTCTACCTCCAAAACTATACTAAAATTAAGTTGTTTCTACTGAGTTATGGGTTGATTAGCCAGACAACACCAAGGGCTACAGATAACCTTATCACGAGTACAAGATAGTCAAAATGAGTACTGTACCACAAATATTTTGATATAAAAATTGGACATGTATGAGTGGGATTGGGTGGTTATAGATAGGCGCTGCCTCGTATGGGTCAATAGACCTTCTGCAGTTACCTTTGTTCTTATGTTCAATCCAATCAAACCACTCATATAAGACGTTTTGTATAGCTTATTTTGTCAAGAGAGCCGCAAGGTACAGTCAAACATCCCCTCCGTGCAAAGCTACTTTTGCAGATGAAGAGTCACAATAACGTGGCTGAAATACGTTGACCAAACCACACACTAGAAAGTGAAGGGATGACGACGTTTTGGTCGTGTCCTGGACCATTCTCTTCTTAAGTCAGGAAGTGAATGGAATGGAATTATCAGGGGAAAGCGCCGAGCCATTACTTGGACTATATAGCACTTGGAAGGGATCAGGATAAGGATTTCGGATGGGACGGGGGGTAAGAAATGGTACCCAACCACTTGGACGGTCGGGAATAGAACACCGACCTGCATGAAGTGAGACCGTCGCTCTTCTGTCCAGCCCAAGTGATTGGGTAGAGGAAGAGCAAGGCAAAAGGTACGGAAGTTAAGGTGTAATAAAGGGTGAAATAATAGGAATTGAAGAGATGACGAAACATCGTCTCTTCAATTTCTAGTGTGTTGTTTAGTCAACATAGCTCCGTTTCTAAATTATTTACCAATATAATGCTAGGTTAGGTAGGGTTAAAATTCATTGCCAAATGATCTTTAATACAAAGTGATTTCCATCCTGAAGGATCAGGCGGCGGTTACTAGAAGAGCCCGGCGGATGATCACGGAACATGGAAGGGTGACTAAGGGAGCAGCAGTTTAAACAGTCTCCGTGGTGTAGTGGTAAGACACTCGCCTGGCGTTCCGCGAGCGCTATGTCATGGGTTCGTATCCTGGCCGGGGAGGATTTACTGGGCGCAATTCCTTAACTGTAGCCTCTGTTTAACGCAACAGTAAAATGTGTACTTGGATGTAAAAACGATTCTTCGCGGCAGGGGATCGTATTCCAGGGACCTGCCCGAAACGCTACGCGTACAAGAATGTAACAACTCTTGTATATATCTCAAAAAAAGGGAGCTTGGCAGGTGACAAGGGTGAGCAGGGAGCTCGGCTGGTGACAAGGGAGCCCGGCGGGTGACAAGGGAGCCTGGCGGGTGACAAGGGAGCCCGGCAGGTGACAAGGGAGCCTGGCGGGTGACAAGGGAGCCCGGCGGGTGACAAGGGAGCCCGGCGGGTGACAAGGGAGCCCGGCGGGTGACAAGGGAGCCCGGCGGGTGACAAGGGAGCCCGGCAGGTGACAAGGGAGCCTGGCGGGTGACAAGGGAGCCCGGCGGGTGACAAGGGAGCCTGGCGGGTGACAAGGGAGCCCGGCGGGTGACAAGGGAGCCCGGCGGGTGACAAGGGAGCCCGGCGGGTGACAAGGGAGCCCGGCGGGTGACAAGGAGAGCCACCAACAGCCGCGTGGGAACATAACTCACCACCTACGAAGATACACTTACAAGAGTGTGCGTGGCCCCCCTAGAGGCTCTCACACACCAACCCTGGCTGGATACACACCTCACGAGGACAATAAGAGGCAGAAGAGCGGTACTCACGCAGACGGCGTCACTCATGGAGGCCCCACACACACACCAGTAACCTCTCCCTCCCTCAAGCACAAAATGGCGCTGCTGCGTCTGGTCAATATCAGTCCCCGGAGCCCCCCACGACTCTTATATTTGTTCACCATTACTCACCTTCCCCCCTCACCCAGCCCCGATACACCACTCTGGCCTCACCTGTCATACACTTTAGTGGTAATAGCGGTGTCTTGTGTGTTGAAACAGGTGTATTATGGTGGGTGTGGAGGAGACATACACTCACACACAAGGGGCGATGGTAAGATAAGTCTCAGCCACCAGCCTCGCCCAGCGCCTACACTTGTACCAGTCAATATTACCTATACTCGCACCCAACCACTATTAGATATTAACTCTTATATACAATATTGAAATAATATTTACGCGTGAGAGTAAGGTTTGTTATACGGGAGTTGATGTAGATGAAGGCGGCGTGTGGCAGCTCCGGCACCGGTATGCTAAGGTCTTCAACAAAACCTTCAACCCCCCAAATTTTCCGTTCACCAATTACAAACGTCAACGTAAATAATGCCAAAGATAATCAGAAAAACATGTAAATAATTAACCCTTATTGTAAACTCAGTAGCGAGGGATTTTTGTTGTTGTAAATAATATCAGTATGGAGGTGGGCGGAGGGCCGGGCTGCAACAATCAATATATTGCTCCCCCATAAATGGCCTGTTGCAACACCCTTACTGTCACCAGAGGTTGAGCTCTGGCTCCTGGGTCCACAAGCTGCCGTCACGTTCAAGTTCATGTAAATTCATTGATAATAAAACACATCGCAAAAGGGGTTATTTCTATCCTCAATCAATATACTAGCTTATCAAGACTGTAACTTCGTTATTAGCTAAATGAATTGTGGGGTTCAGTCCCTGAGACCATTATGTGCCTCTGTAACCTTTTCCACTACCTACAGCCCACAGGATGGGTATAGGATGCATAATAAATGAACTAAACTAACTCCTACTATACAAGTCCCACAAGGACTGTATACAGTACCTAAATAATCATATTGTACATTTACAAATATATTTAAATAATCACATATTATATATTACAAGAATTTTAGAAGTCACAATAAAATGGCTGAAAAACCTTGACCAAACCATACACTAGAAAATGAAGAGACGACGACGTTTTGGCACACGTTACAGCCCCGCTCCTGTGCTAGGTAAGTAGGTAAGTTCACTACGGGCTCACCATAGCCCGTGCTACTTGAAACTTTTGTTCCCAGTAGCTGAAGAACAACAACGTTTGGGTCCGTCCTGGACCATTATCAAGTCGATTGTGATGAGGCGAAGATTGAATGATGAAGATTAAGCCACCCAAAAGGTGGCACGGGCATGAATAGCCCGTAAGTGGTGGCCCTTTTGAGCCATTACCAGTATCAAGAGCTGATACTGGAGATCTGTAGAGGTGCGAATGCACCCTGCATGACGAGAGATGTCTCCTTTGTGAATGTGTTAAGATGAAGATGAAGCCACCCAAAAGGTGGCACGGGCATGAATAGCTCGTAAGTGGTAGCCCTTTTGAGCCATCACCAGTATCAATAGATGATACTGGAGATCTGTGGAGGTGCGACTGCACCCTGCGTGACGGGAGATGTCTCCCGTCGTGAAGAGGAGAGAGAGAGAGAGAGAAGATTAAGCCACCCAAAAGGTGGCTTGGGCATGAATAGCCCATAAGTGGTGGCCCTTTTGAGCCATTTCCAGTATCAATAGATGATACTGAGATCTGTGGAGGTGCGACTGCACCCTGCGTGACGGGAGATGTCTCCCGTGCAATGTGACGGGAGATGTGTGGTTTATGTTTGATTGATTGATAAAGATTAAGCCACCCAAGAGGTGGCACGGGCATGAATAGCCCGTAAGTGGTACAATTTTTTTTTCCCCCAGTGTTCTGAGGTTGCATTTAACCATCAAGCTGTTATCGTGGGGGAGGATACTGCTTCACAGTCTTTATGAGGGTGTCCAGCTGCTGGACACCTTTGTTGACCAGGAGAGTGGCTGTGTTGATGGCTTCAGGGTGGCCACTGCATGATTCAGGAACTCTTAAAGCTCTTCTAAGGTCATTGGTTGCTTCACATTCCAGAAGATAGTGAAGTAATGGCTTTTCTGTGACAGTTTGGCAGAAGATGCACTCTCTCTGTCGGGGTTCACCAATCTCCCAGTTGCATCTGTAACCTAGACGTAGTCTATATAGCCTAACTGCTATTTCCCTGTGGATTCCTTTTGGGATATTTAACCTTTCTAATTTGGTTGCCTGAAGATACCATGTTGCAGATGGCGAACCTTCAGCTAGATGAGGCGAAGGAGGCAAGGACAATAAATAGGCCGGAGAGAGGTGAGGAGATGGAAATCTTAGAGGAAGAAAAGAGCAAGGCAAAAGTTACGGAAGGTAAAGTGAAATAAAGGGAGCAAAAATATGGAATAAGAAAGGGATCGTAAGAGAAAACAAGAGAAAAAAAAGGAAATATAAAAGAAAGGGTAGGCTTATGTTTGGTCACGTTTGTTAGAAAGTTTAGAACATTCCCCTCGCGGTCTGTGTGTGCCGCCTTAGCTAGTCCTTCGGGCTTTCTGCTGTTAAGTTCCAGGGAGTGCAGGGGCGCCTTTTTTGGGCCCGTGTCGGGCGCTCCCGTGCTGTGCTTCTCGTGTTGCCTGGCTTAGGGCCGGCGTGTGCTGGGCGTCCCTAGTGGACTGCGTTCGGTTTCCACCCAGGGGGGGCTCCGTCCAGCCGTGCTCGTACGTGCCCTGGGGGCCCCGCAGCGTGGCGTGCCCGTGTGTGCGCCCTGCCTGGGGCCCCGAGGGCGGACAGGCGTGCCCTTGGCGGCGTCGCCAGGCGTGGGCGGCCCTATGCCCTTCGGGTTCTGCCTTGGGGCCCATGCCTTGCCACCATCGACCACGTGTCTGGTCGACTGGGCGTGCTTCGGCGTCCTTCCCGCCTTTCCCTCGAGGCTCCCTGTTGCCGGCCTGCCGGGTTCCCTGGGCTGTCCCGAGGGGCCAGGTTTCTTCATGTGCGAGGCCATGTGTCGCCGTCGGCGACGCCTTGTGGCCAGGTTCCGGCCCTACGCCCGGGCCTGCTCCGGGGCACACGTCCTTGGCGGCGTCGCCACGTGGCCAGGCGTGGGCGGCCCTATGCCCTGCGGGACCTGCCCTTGGGGCCCATGCCTTGCCGGCATCGACCACGTGTCTGGTCGGCTGGGCCTGTTCCGGGGCACACGTCCTGGTAGTGCTGCCCACGTGGCACGGCGCTCCGTGGAGCGCCCGACTGGGCTGTGTTCTGCCCTTCCTGTTCCCTTATTTGGGTGCTAATCCACGTGGCTTTGCGCCACGGCCTTCCCTCGTTCGGGGCTAGGGCTGCCCTGCGCCCGTCTGGGCGCGCCTGTGTGTGCCCCCCCCCCCCTTCGCCCTAGGCCCAGAGTCATGCCTTGTGGCAGTGCTTGGTGGGTAGGCCACGGGGGTCCATGGCGTGCGCGTTGTGTTCTCCGCTAGGCACGTTCGTCCTCGGACGTCTCGCCCGGCCGGTGTTGCCTGGGGAGTTAGTCCCAGGCCTCTTTGTCGGCCCGGAGTCCCCAGGTATGTCTTCCCCGGATGTGTCGCCTGGCACGTTGTCCGTCTACTTGCAACATGCCGGGTGTAAGCCCGGCATGTTGTACCCAGACGTTACGTCTGGCCGGTGTAGCCCGGTGTGTTAGTATCAAGCTGTTTCGTCGGTCCGGGGCCCCACAGGCACGTGTCCAGTTCGCCTGCGGGGTAGCCAGGATCATTACTCCCAGACCTACGTCTGGCCGGTGTTGCCCGGCAGGTTGGTTCCCAGGCGCTTCTGCCTGGCCGGTGTAGCCCGGTGCGTTCGTCACAAGTGCCTTGCCAGTACGTTGTAGCACGGATTCCTTTCTCCGTTGCAAGTTCAGCGTTCGTCCGCCTGCCCGTCCGTCTTGTGTCGTCAGTCGTTCTTCAACGTTGGAGGGGGTCGCTGGCGTCGGAGCACGGTCCCGAGATCAGCCCGACGACGTCTGCAGGCGTCCCGGATGCCGCTACGGTAGGTTTACGTCTAATGGTAAGCGCCACAGGTCCAGGGTTCGGCGTCGGCGTTGCAGCCGGCAAGCCAGGATGACTCGTCCCCCTCGTTGTTCGTTAAGTCCTCGGCGTCCAGAACCAGGGGCAGTAGCCCTGGACAGGGGCGGTGGCCCTCACTGTTGCCTGGGGCCCGGTATCCTCCAGCAGGTGGCTGCGTCGAAGCGTCGTCGGGAATGAGGCTTCCCCCCCCCCCACCCCACCCCGCTCAGCCCTGTACCCTAAACGTCCTCACCTCGTTGTGAGGCCGGCCGTCGGGCGACTCATATTCCTCCCTGTTAATTATTTATTTACGCTCGTTATCCTTCTTCTGCATTTTAGAATGGCGGCCAGGAGGTGCCCTTACGCTTATTCACCTCCTCGAGTTTATTCCTTGGCTTCTCCTCATGCCCATGTTATTTTGGTAGTGTTTTATTGTTTATTGTTATTTCTCTACATGCTGATAGTATATCCTTATTTTGTACTTGCAGATAAGTACTTCAGATAAGTAAGTGTTATGCCTTGCTCTTATTCCTAATTATGTTCTACATTTCAGCACTGTCACGCCTCCTGCTTTCAGATTACCTCGGATTCGCATTTCCAAGCAGCCTAACATAATTTACTCCTACATTTGATGCTTTGCTCATGTCGCATGTTTATTTTACGTTTGCTGTGTTACAGTATGTTTGTTCACTTTTACCTTGCCTTACGTCATTAAGTAAAGTCAGCCAGGATGTGCTATTTGCAGAGTTATTAAGTAAATTATTAAGTAAAGTCAGCCAGAATGTGCTATTTGCAGTATTCGCGGGCCCTTATTTTAGCTTTACGTTTTCCTGGCAATGCATTTTGCCTAGTTTCCTCAGAAGTTTACAGTATTTTACGCTTAGCCCTTGCAGTATATTCACGTTACTTATTTGGTTATATTTATGTTGTGCATCACCTTTGTTCTGTTAATGTAAAATTGTTATTTATTTATTATAGGGCGAAATGTTCCATTTAGCCTACCACAATTTAATTCATGTTACTTATTTGGTTACATTTGTGTCGTGCATCATTTATGTTTGTTATTGTAAATTTGTTATTTATTTATTATGGGTGAAATGTTCCATTTAGCCAACATATTTTATTTCTCTTTGTCTCATTTGCCATGTTTTTGTTTATTTTCCTTGGTTGTGTCTACAGTTCGTTTGTCCCCTTTGCCTCGCCGTTGTTTTCAAGGCAGCTAGGATGTGTGAGATGCAGT